AGCATTTGTCCAACAGATGCAGAGTGTTGTGCAGGCGTGGCGGGAGAGGAGGGTGGGGGACGCGCGACATGGAAGACCACCGACGCTGGCGCTACCGTGGCGCATCAGCGCGCAATTTTTGATGATCAAAGTGCCCAATTGGTATTGTGGCGCTTGATGCGAGATTTTAGGGTTTGCGCGAGGAGGACCCGCCATTCGTGCTCCCTCCCCTCCCTCGCTGCGCTCGGGGGGTCCCCCGAGCCGGGAGCACTCAGGCGGGCACTCTAAAGCCTCGTTCGCGCGATAAATACAGACGGCCTCCCCTCTTGGGGGAGGAGGAGTTGTGAGCAAAGCCTAACCCAAACCCAAGCCCAAACCCGAACCGAACCCAAACCCGAACCCTAACCGAACCCTAACCGAAACTCTAACCGACGCGTATCACTAAGACCGCGTGGGTTGGGAGGTTTGATACCTCCCTGGCCCGATATCCCAGAGGTTTGCAAACCTCGTTGTAGTCTCTACCGGTGGAACGTATTGGGGTGTACCGGGGGTAGTGATGCTCACGGCGGAGGAGAAGTGGAACCAGTCATTGAAGTTCGTATATGGAATTGCGCTGTCAGCGCAGCTGTCGCCCTCACAGAAGTCGGTCCAGGTGGCGATGTCCGCCCACCAACCAAGCACGAGGTCGCCGTCGCTGTGTGATGTGCATTCAGCGTGCAATTCAGGAAATAGAAGACCAGAGCATACTCCGGGTAGATGTTTGTGTCCGTGGCTTGAATCGTGTTGTAGAACCAGTCGACGAAGGGTTCTGATATGGTATATTAGTGTATGCTTTCTTGCTTCAGAAGGAACATATTGACTTACGCCAAGTAAGCGAACAGCCGCCTGGCTGGAACGCACAGTCACCAACCATTCCGAAGTATATCTGTCCGGAGGAACAGATCAATATGTATGATATCTACGAGAATGAACGCATTCAGACGTTGCTATAGTCGAGGCTACTGATATCGGTAGGCTGGTGACAGGTTCCTGCGCAGCATGCGGCATCGAGAACCGCACCTATCTGTTGTGCAAAGGATTCAGAAGGCTCAATTACCACGAATAGTGCATTTGGTAAGACACACGAACCCCAGCGCATGTTGCTGCTGCCGTGCAAGTGCGATCACTCCAGAACGCCGTGGAGGATACCTGCCAAGGCTGAATGAGTATCGCGATGCCGCAAGAACAACAGGAGACGGACCTGTCCGGAAGCAATGCCAGTAACGCATAGGCCGACGAGCGACAGACATGAATCTTCTGGAGCAGAGATACACGTGCCGTTGGCAGTGGCCCGAGAGGACAAGCCGCGATCATGCACGGGCTTGCTGAGCGCGACCGCATTGATCGTGCTGAAGGCGGCAAGAAGGATGGGGGAGTTAGAGAGGAGCATTGCGAGTCGGAAAGCTGACTCGTTGCCTGCTGGCCAAGCACATAGACTGACCGCACATTTTATACTCAGAACTGGCGGTCCAAGCTGCCAAGAGGATCCCCTAGCGCATCCATCGACACTTGAGCAGACGCTGCGACAAATGTTGAAAACAATTCACAGCCGCTCATGCTCAGTCAGGGATCTTTGCATACGCTATGTCCGGAGAGGCTTATTTCCCTTTTCGGGTTAAGAATGTAGGACCTGTGCATAGTCCTTGGATCAGTGAAAGATTTCAGCATGAGAAGCGACGAATACTTGCAGCTAGTGAGTCGATGATATTTCGAATAATTGCAGGCGTCTCAACGTCAAGGCACACGAACCAAGTTGTTGGTGAGAGAAGGACCAATGGAGACAAAAGGTCTTGAGTTGTCAGCGACAGGCACCGTGACGCCAACCTGAACCAGGTCAGCAGTGCAGTACTCTCCAGCGGTCCAGTGCCGCTCTGCCGACCCACGCCAACCGACGTATACTCACCTAGATAGCGGTCCCGTATGAAATCTTAGATGTCTTGCTCACCTGGTCTTCCTTTCGTTGATCCGGTAGACTTAGAACCGGAGCGCCGAGTTGGAAACGTGCGCTACATAAAAACTGCTCTGCACAAGCTAGAATCAGCATCGGGTCCAAATGGCGCTGACAGGACAAATCACATCTCACCGACTTGGAGAACGATGATGAAATGCTAGGATTGACAGCGTGCTGTTTTCGGCAGAACTTGGATATCAAGCGGTTCGTATTGTGCATTTACTTGACTCATTTTGGCCCCCCAAGATAGTGCATTCCAGAACGAGATACAGAGAGCCACAGGAAAGGAGGTGTTTTTGTGCTGCATATCCCACGGCAGTACGGAGCAGTTGTTGTCGCGGCGCTGACGCGGATAGTCCGTCCGGTGCCGTCATGTGATGCATGTCACAGCAGCTCGACGCCCGCCGCCTCAAAGCTCGTCGAGAGTCATGATTTCACCTCAAGATTATTGCTGATGGGCACCGACCTTGCTTGTGATCCTCAATGTTTTCTCTGACCTTCAAAGTTCTTGGAAGGCTCGATAGCCTCTCCGAAAGGCTCGGCACGACGTCAGACACTGCCTGCTGCCAGTGTACCTCCTACAAGGTTTCTATCAGACATGCTGTCAGCTGCTCTCGACCTCCTTATAGTCTTCCTTCAGGCTTTCCATCTAGGCTGTCGGGCTGTTAGCACCACTGGATCTCATACCGCGACGATGCCGAACCCAGAGGACATTGCACGTGAGTCACGCAATACAATCTTAGTCGGCGAGAAGGGCGTCTTCCATCGTCCTGTATTTGACTGCTGTGAGACCGCCTCAGTCTAGACCCAACACGTCCGCCTTGGATGTCCTATTTCAAGTCATTCTCCGAAACCTTTGTGAAGGAGCCTAAAATTCTGCTATAGACTCAATTGCGTCCTCCCCATCCCCATACTACCCGCCTTCTCCGGTTTCGAGATAACGTTAGGGCGTCCGCGACTGACGCCACATTCACCACGCTCTGATCAACCAAGCGCGGTGCGAAGTCTCCATTGAAGGGGAGATTTGCGCTCCGCTCAGCGCCGTGATATCCCCGGATTCTCTGTACTCGTTCCTGAATCCCCGCGCGGAGGGACCATACGGTTTCGGTGGATGGTTCTCAAGCCTCTGCTTTTGCGCTCGGCGTAAAGCCTTGATTTGGGTTGACAGACACAAGCCTCGCAGCCGTAGGAGACGAGCATCGAATGAAGTCTTCGGCATGTGACAACCTTGGCTCTCTTTGGAGAATACGAAGCTCGGCGCCGCGATGATGTGCATACTTTGAAGATCAAGGACTTCGAGGGCCCGCTCTCTATTTTCTCCAGTGGCCGTGCCGTGCGCGCGTGTTGGGAAATGCAAGGCAGTACCGTGGAGGGTCGAGATCTTGATACGCACTAGGACGAGGGATAGAGGGAACTTATGCGACGAGGGGATTTACAGGGACTTCTCGGACATCGAAGAGTCCACCGGGCAGAGCTACACACGACAACTGCGTTCGAGGGCCCGGACCTTGCGCTTGCTGTCTAGCGCTCACGAATCCACAAGTAAGACGCTTTGCGACGCAGCGCACCCGAAGGCCTAGCGGAAGACTTACAGCTGCTCTCTGCTCGACGGTCAAGCGTGGAGGGCGGTGCAGTTTCTCGGCTATGATGGATACGTACAGGACATATCAGTTAACCTCGGAGACGTAATCTTCAATGCGACGGCGTGCGCATGGCTATACGCGGCTGTTCGGTGTACGCTTCCACCTCCCTGTTACGACTGTCCACTAACCACGTCGTCTCCGAACTCATGAGATTAACAATAGCACATATTTAGATCTGGTTTTTAGCAGAAGGCGCCACGACAATCTATGCTCAGGCCGTCTACGCGAAAACGGTGTACACCAGAGATAGCGAATTGGCAGATAGTGGGGACCCTTATTTGTGAGTATGTTAGAGGTCAGACGTGAGGGAGAAGGGAAGACAAGTAGCTGACGGTAGATTCAGGACAATCGGGACTGGGCGCAGGGCGCAATGCAACGTGCTCTCGCTCCGAACATTGTAATCAGACAGCGTACGGTCATTTACGAGCTCCTTCCCAGCATACACCATTCTCTGATACTGAACGGGGATGCCGAGCTGCTCGAAGAGCCGATCCTTCACATAGCCCACAGTGTCGCAGGTATGGGCCCATATGGCAAGCGTCCTCCCAGAAGGTCTGCCAAAGGCAAGAATCAGCGTCAGCTTGCGACACGCGAGATATTGAATTGACCGGTACACTAGGTTGTTGCATGGTCAGCTCACCCTTTTACGAAGATCTGACCACCTGACGCAGGGAGCGGCAACACGTGGTGCTGCCCGTTGCTACTAACACGTTGATTATTTGGTCTGAGCAGGCCAGGCCTAGGCTCGCTGCCTGCCTCTCGAGTCGCAGGCCATGTTTCCCTCCGCATTAGTGGCAAGTCCCCGGTTCGAAAGTCCTCAGCCCTGCTGATAATGTCAACCAGTCTGCTAGTCATATCCTGCTTGGGTATATGGTACCCACCCGACCGCCGAAGGCTTGTCTGCTGCAACAAGCGTGGCTTCGGAGGCGTTTCCGAGCCCGAAACCAACGTCGCATTCCCGACGTATATGCGTCAAGATCACAAGATCACCGCTTTCCAGACGGTTGAGTAGGTCGTCGGTAAGCTCTAACTGGTACCTCTCGACTTCGCCCACCAAGACGAGGTCTTCTTTGAGACAGCGCTCCACGCGGAAATGCTCCGAGGCCTTTTGTATGATGGTCTGCATGAATACGTAAGAGCTGCGGGACGATCACATAACACCAAGTATAGCTGCTCACCGCCGTGCCGCCGACGTTATTCAATCCTACGGTACGTGTGCCCCATTTCACTCGCAGCATCGAGGGGGGAGCGGACAATGGCGGCATGGTGTAGCTGCCTGTGCTGCAAGTTGGGGAGAGATAAGGGGGGACATATCATCTTATATATGCTCGATTGTGATGCACGCTGTACTGCGGTAACAAGGACATGAGGCTTGCACGAGCCTTCTATGGCAACATGCGTCCTGAAAGCGCGGTTCTAATGACCATGCCTTTCAAACGGGGTACGAAGTGATTTCGCAGTGGGCATCCTGTAGGCGATTATGCGTGCGCTCACCGAGAGTCTCCGGAGACTGATAATCCTGAACGGCTACGACATCGAAGATAACTTCGTGGATATATTTTCAATAAGTCATGCAGCTCATCAGCCTTTGATCATACCGTGGAAGTATCTTCGACCTCATAGGTCTGAAGTCCTCCCACAGGCCTAGGCTTTGCTGCTTTATTGGGCCCTACAAGGATGCAAATCGAGCCCTCAAACCTTGCGAAGCCTGGCGTGGGACCCAGCTTGGCTGAGTTCACGAGCGTTTGGTAGTCGATCCCTCCCAGCCTCGAGCTGAGCTGAGATCTGGTCGGAACTTACGTCAGGACGGGGCGCTGTGGCCTATCGGTCATGCATTGCCGTACGATGAGTACGACATCTTCGCTGCTGCCGCAGGGGGCGGTTACAGGGGCGCGTGACGCCATGGCCCGTGTGAGGGGCCATGCCCTGTACGCATCGAACACACTCATATGTATGAGATATAGCGTGATGTAGGTTTCATGAGAGGGTCGATGAGCCGGTGATCCTTAGCCACTTCCTGTTGACTGACGAGGTAAATCAAATAAGTCAGCGAACGCGCGAAGAGAGCGCGTATATCTATGAACGCTATGATATTTACTTGCTATCAGCAAACAGCACGACAGCGAGTCCCTGGAAGCCAAACTTACCTGTCGATATATAGCACCTCCATACACCCTCGTACTTGAAATGTATCCTTGTCCCGTGCTCCCAACGTGAGCTTACGGTTACCAAATGTTCGCCCCCTCATTCAACAATCTCGACGTCATTCTTCTTGACCGAGCTCGACTTCGTCATAACCACAGTCCCTTGCTCAGCAGCGTCCCGCTTGACATCGTCGACATACACCATTTTCTCGACGTCGTAGTTAGTCTCCTTGACGGTACGGAGCACGAGATATGCTAAGGGGAATGAGAAGAGGAGCATAGTCCATGACGCGAGGTGCTCGTTCAGGAATGGGGTGGCAACGGCGTCCATGCCGAACGAGCCTGCCGCACCCGCAGACTGGAGCGCCTTATAGAGGCCTGCGTAGCGCGCAAGTGTGAAGGGGTCGTTGGTGAGTGCGGACATGATCCAGTATGGCAGTCCAAGGTAGCATGCTCCCGAGAAGAAGTCTGTGGTACGCACATTGAACAAGCAGACCTTCATTGATGCGAGATTGGGACAGGGATGTAAACTTACAGAAGAAGTAGAGCGCGCCCTTGCCCCTATAATCCGAGTCCTTGTAACTGATGGGTGGAAGAGCATTTGGATTGCCCTTGTGGTCAACATCCCAGCGGTCGAATGTGACCTGCCACGCAAGTCCAGAGGACCACACGATGATAGTTGCCGCGGTTGCAACGGCGAGACCGAGGTAGCCACGTGTGCGGCGTTGCAAACCCTTGATATCGAGCACGACATAGCCCATGAACAGAGCACCGATGATTGAGCCTGCGCCCTCGAGCGTCGCGTTGAGGGCACGCGTGGGGCCATCAAAACGTGCGGCGTTGACCGCACCCAAGTAGGCATAGAAGTAGTTCGATGCGAAGCACATCGGCGCGAGTGCTGGGTTGGTGGTGTAAGAGAAGAGGGGTGCATGAGTATGTGCATGTCGTCACAAATCCATCGCGACAATTGTCAGAGAAGATGCGAGGTTACTGAACTGAGCGGACTTACCAACCATACGCCAGTCCTTGAAGAGCCGGAGAAGGCCGACAAATTCCACACTCAGTTTGGAGGCGGTATTGAGCCTGACGATTGTGTCATCGGCGCGGATGACTTTGTTGGGTGGGAGAATCGAAAACGAGGATGCGACTCCGACAAAGATGATCACCAAAAATGCCTGCAACAGCATACGTTGAGTTAGCTTCTACTCAAAACGCATCCTTGGCCCTCCGCGAGGCACAACTTCGCTTGAGTCGGTCAAGGGATGGATTCGCTCGCATGTAAAAGGCAACTCACGATATACGTGGAGGTGGAGACAGTTGAGAGACCGCCTTGGCGAATATTTATGGCGAGAGCGACAAGTGAGCCAATCAACGAGCCGAGCTGGTAAATGGCCCAGAAAACGCCGAATGCCTTGCCCTTGTCCTTCTCCATGGGGTAGGACATCATGATACAACCCTGCGCAGACCAGAGGAGCGCGGCAGAAATCCCGAGCAGTGCTCCAGCGAGGATGACGAACCATCCCGTACCTTGAGTCTGGTAGCTATAAGAAGGTACGTCAACTCAAATTCGGCAACTCTAGGGCAAGGGAGCAACACTGGATGTGCAATCCTGGGTGTGTCCGTCCGGCTGCAATAATGTCCAGCGAGATAGATGTATTTGCAGTATTCGCATCGACTCCTGCGCGTTGTTGACAACATCATGGCTGCAAGCTCACAGGAGGAGGAATGCGTGGTTTAGTGGACAGATTGCGAGACGGCAGCCTTGACATAGCAGCACCATCAACAGCTCGACTGGGCGGGTAGGAAGATCGAGGAGCAGCGAACTGTTGCCAGGAATAGACAATCAGATAGTCAGACGTACCACCAGAGAGAACCGACGTAGAGGGCGTAGCCGAGGGTACCGATGAAGAGCGTCAGCCGCGGACCAATCACTGTCAATGGAATCGCAGCGTTTAGGAGAACTGTCATCCAAATCAGACAGAGCGTGTGAGCGGAACCTTACAGTTGCAGATGCCGCCGGACACGAGGCCAACGACGGCAAAGCAGCCATAAAGGACACCATTAGCGGTGTCGGAGAGCGCGACGTCACTGAGACCTCCGGCACCCAAGTTAGACACTGCGCTGAACATCCCAACGGTTGCAAAGCTATATGAGAGAGAGCGCTGAAGTCAGAATGAGGCCTACAGTAAAGGATGAGAATAGCTCATACCATGTGATGCCGACGAGAATGACCTGGGCCATAGGTGTCCTTTATAGCATTAGGGTCCGTACCGTCACAGCGACGTGAGCACAGAGCGTACTTGTACCACGAACGAAACTTGGATCCGGTCATTGATACTCAGAGAGATGTCTAGTACGGGCGGGGGGCCAGTGGGGGAATGGATGCTCGGCAGGGAAACAGAACCACTAGCCCGCATTTTATATTTACGTAGAACGCGAGCCGGATGATCCGTAATAGCCGGGCTGGCACGCGCTCGCAGACGATCCATACTTCGCCACATGCGAGATTCCAGAATGACTGGAGTTGTGAGTTTTCGCTGTCAGTTCAACACCAGGAGGGGTGCGAATGGCCGGTACCGAGACGCTCACTCAGTCGCTGATGCGAATTTGTTGCGCACACCGATATTACGGAGTTGATGCTGGCAACGTTGAGATGATGCTCCAATAACGGTCATATCATACATACCTCACCGTGATCTTGAAATCAAACCCGGACGCACCTCATGCTTGTCGCATTTGGCCACGCATACTTCCCCCGAAAGCTGATTGCATAATCCGACAGAAAACGACCCAGATGCGTACAGGCAAATGTGAGCATCATATGTCGTTTGAACTCACCTCAATGCCACTAGTCGCTGAGACGACTCCTAGAGTCGTTGGTAGTGTAGTGTCATTGGGGTCAGAGGAGCGCCCGCGGAGGCCGAATAAATCCGACTGCAGTGGCTGTGCAATCATGCGAGTTCGGGCCCGGTGGCGAAGGGTCTGTTCTGTCTTACGGCCATGTAGCCTGGCTTTGGCCCTAACCAGACGGCATTATGCGCCTTCAGAACTGCGTACCACCGCTAGATACTGAGGTGGTGCAAGCGCTATGCTCGGTCGGTGTTAAAACAGACTCCGACCTCCTGCTGGCCGGCGAACCCATGGACGTTTTCGCCAAACTCGCCCCTGGACACGGCATCGGCCTGAAGACCTTCAATGAGATAGTCGCGCAAGTGGCCCAACTAGCTGCCGCCGTTCCCGTCTATGCGGATAAAGCTTTCCAACTAGAAACCAAGTTGACAGAGGAAGTCCTCGACGATGGCGTGCTCTTGGAGCTCCCAGAACTTGACAATCTTCTTGGCGGGTTCGGACCTCCTCGTGTGATCGAGTTCTCCGGCGATACAGGCTCTGGAAAAACGGTATGTACCAAATACTGACGCTGACGCAAAGTTTGCTCACAATCACCAGGCATTGGCTCTTCATATGGCAATCCGGCATTTATCCTTTGTTGATGATTCTACAGTACTCTGGATAGATAGCAGCGGAGAATTCTCTGCAGAACGCGTGTCCACCATCATTCCACGTATGGAAGGCCCTGTACGTTCAGCTATATGCGCTTCACATCTCAGAGTTTTTCACGCTCTTATCCTAGTACTCTGCCACGGCACTTCAACGACTACAAGTCTCGCTTGCATTTGACATTGAAGCCGTGCATGGAGTCCTCGAATCCCTTCGTCAGTCCATATCCACTGCACACAACGAGGGATACAAAGTACCTCGTCTCGTCATCATAGACACTATCGCGTCTCTTCTGGGTCCCATGTTGAGCGCGACGTCATCCCAAGGTATACCTCTAGCCAGACTTTCAGTGTCCAAAGCATTGACTTTTGGTTTTGGCATTAGGTCATGCCGTCATGACGACCTTCATGCGCCAACTACGTGCTTTGGCAGAGCTGTCTCCCCTCACTGTGATCGTACGTCGATTATGTCCACGCTCATTTCGCATGTCAGTTGAATGGGCGCAGGTTATAAACTCATCAACAAGACTAGAGCCGCGAAATCCTGAGTCCAGGAATTCGGAGGCGGTGTTCGAGATGAGACGGAAGCCTACGTTGGGGCCGTCGTTCACCTTCTTGACCGACGCAACGCTCTGGCTATCGCGACGGGACCCGGACGCCTCTGGCGAGAGCAGAGCAGGAGACGAGTCGACGTTGCACACAGCAGAAGTATTGCGGTCAAGAATTACCGTAAGTTATACGTTCCCCCGTGTGTGTCAGTGTGTAGCCCGATGACTTTTGCACCACCTCCCAGCGTTCAAAGACTTGGGCTTGTTTCAGAATCAGGAATGGACTGGTCGTTGAAGCGTGATTGTGTACTAGAAATCGCGTGTGAATTCCACCGTATTTTCTGGTGCTTCATGTTTCTATGGTTTCAACCTCGGTGGTAAATGCTCGGCAGCAGTTGCTGACATTAGGTGGAACGTGAATCAGATTCACATTCGGGGCCTAACAAATCTCATCAGTCTGATCAAAATAGCAGCACTCAGTGTATAGTCCTCCAAAACCGCAGATCTCGTTATCATTTGTCACTAAATCCACGAACTACCTAGGGAAGCGCATACTCCGCAAACCAGGGATTTCGCAGCATCGAAGGCCAGAATGTAAGTGGTGTATGATGCAACACAGTTAGACGGGGCTCAGTAGCTAACATGAGAATCGAGGGTGACTGAGCCCGGGTGGACAGAGAGATCATACAGGATGTAGAGCAATGGGGGAAGCGCAAATTGGTCTGGAGCTTCAAATGTCGCGGGCCTGAAGACACGAAGGTACGACGTTGTAATCGCACAGAGCAAAGACGTGTCTCGCCAGTTACGGAGATTGATGTGTACGGGGGATCATCAAGATTAACTTGTCGGGGGGAGACTAGGGCAAAGTGAGGGCAAGTGGCGGAAACGATCCGTCGTTGACAATGCCCGACATTCCCGGTGACGATCCTCTCGAGCATTTCCCAGGGGAGCTTAGGCAACGAAGATAAATTTCGCAGCTCAGAACAGGCGCTGCACAGCTGAAAAGCGCCCGATGCTTATGTCATACATTCTTGTCCGAACGAGGCGGGGTCATCGGCTGAGGCGGGTCAGTCCACTGCTCTTTGCTCCGTACCTCTTGCTTTCTAGCCCACACGATGGGTATACTATTCTCGTTGCCCTTAGCGGGTGTATTCGGGACGGTCGGTTCCTCATGTCTTGCGGGGCTGGCCTTCTGCTTCACCTCCACAGCAGGTGAGTCGTAGCCGCTCTTGGGGATGGAGTATGAAACTCATCGGACTGGCTCTCTGCAGCCTCGATGTTTTGTAAGTCATGTAATTGCAATTCCTCAATCGCCACCCGTGTTGGCTTTGCGGTGAGTGACACTCTCATGATGATCATGGTGCGAGGAGCTCAGACATCACACATAGTTCATTTTCTGCCTGAACTCCATGTTGGCATGGCTCATGAAGTCGCCGCTCATCTTCGAGCAGTTGGAGAAGATGAGTTATGGATATCTGAAGATGGACTGTGAGGGAGACAAGTGCTATGGCGTTCTCGCGGTACGTCCCTCGATCCACAGTCACCGCGAAGTCGCGCCGGCCTTGCAAGAATTTTGTTCGTCCGACCGAGTACATGTGCCAGAGTACTCCTTCGTCTTTGCCCCGCATATTGCTACATGTCCTTCGTTTCATGGGCATTCCGGGTTTATGCGTGCCATCCCCTAGCATTGGTGCGGAGTGGCTGCTGCGGATTGCGAAGCATTCAAAGTGGGCACTCGTGTGCGTCGCAGGAGCGAGCTGCGCGCAATGCCTAACGCGCCATATACCGCGTTCAGTGAGCCAAGCATCAGGTTCTGGCCCCTCTTCGCTGGGCAAGGGCGTCTTATCACACCTTTACAGGGCGGAAAGGGAGATGCTCTACTGAGGACCGGCGTGGCTTGTGCCGTACATATCGCCAATCAACTCAAACCCCTCGCCTTTAGGTACACAGAATCTGCTTCGCTCTCGCTCTATTCCATGCACTGTTGAGCGTGTCTCTTATTGGAGTCCAAGATACGAAGGACAAACGTGCGGCAATCCAGAATGGGTGAGTGTCTCGTAGCATTAGGCGACCCCGCAAAGCTCACGAGGACCGCAGCTGGTGGGGTCCGAAGGTTCTCCTCTGGCTCGTCCTCGTCGTCATTTCCTTCTTCATACCCAATGGGTTCTTCATGTTCTGGGGCAACTACGTCGCCATGATCGGCGCGTCAATCTTCATCCTCCTCGGCCTCGTCCTCCTCGTCGACTTCGCACACTCCTGGTCCGAGACGTGCCTTGAGAACTGGGAGAACTCCAACTCGAACCTCTGGCAGTGGATCCTCATTGGCTCCACTGCAGGCATGTACGCCGCTTCGATCGCCATCACCGGTGTCCTCTATACCTTCTTTGCTGGATCTGGCTGCACGCTCAACCGCTTCTTCATCTCCTTCAATCTCGCGTTGTGCATCGTCATCACGATCATGTGCGTCCATCCAACGGTACAGGAGTACAACCCGCGGTCGGGGCTCGCGCAGTCGAGCATGGTCGCCGCCTACTGCACGTACCTGATCATGTCCGCCGTTGGGAACCACGACCACAACATGTGCAACCCGCTCAGGCGGGGGAGCGGGACGCAGTACACGACAATGTTCTTGGGCGCGGTGTTCACGTTCCTCGCAATTGCGTACTCGACGAGCAGAGCGGCGACGCAGAGCCGGGCGCTGGTCGGGACGGATAAGAAGGGCTCGATCTCGCTTCCGACGGATATCGAGCACCACTCGGAGATGGGAGTTGTCATCAATACTCAACCGGGGAGGACGGAGCACCCTAGGTACCAAGCACTCCTTGCTGCGGTCGAAGCTGGGTGGGTACTTGCTGTCGTCGAGAGGGGTGTGTTATCGTGAGCTGACCCGTGTCGTAGTGCGATCCCCGCGTCGGCGCTTGAAGAAGAATGGCAGGACGAGGACGAGGACGAGACCTCAGGGGACGCTCGAGATGACGAGCGCACCGGGACCCGCTACAACGTACGTCGGCACATTCGTGTTTGTTCCGCCCTCATACTAACGCCTCGCAGTACGCATGGTTCCACGTCATTTTCGCCATCGGTGCGATGTACGTCGCGATGCTCCTCACCGACTGGTATGTCCTTCTATTTATCGTCAAGATATGTGCTCTGTGCTTACCTGCAATGCGACTCCGTGATGCAGGAATGTCGTCAAGGAAGACTCCAATCCGGATCACTCTCAGGACGTCACCATCGGCCGCTCCGAGGTCGCGATGTGGATGCGCGTCGTGTCGAGCTGGCTCTGCATGCTACTATACATTTGGAGCCTGCTCGCGCCGGTCCTCATGCCCGATAGGTGAGCGTCTCTCTCTTGGTGCGCTTCGCTTCCTGTGTGCTTTCGCTGACGGGGCGGCTGTAAGGTTCGGCGATTACTAGGCGGTAAGTGTTGTAGCGCGACATAGACGGACGGACTTCATGCATTGGGTGCTGTACGATTGTAGTGATGTGCGCCATGTAATAAATCATGGAGATTTTATACCTTGCGTTCGTAGCAGGATTTCTGAGAAGGCACAATTGCTTCAAGCTGGCCAAGAGGTGTTCACCGTTGATTATCGACGATTAACATTGGTTTGGAGAGCAAACCAAAATGTCGTATCCGATATGGTGTAGTGGCTAACATTATCGCCTCTCACGCGATAGCCCGGGGTTCGATTCCCCGTGTCGGAATCGTTTTTACTTTGCGTAGCTCCGGCAGCTTCAAGTTAACCCCATTGCCGCTCATATACTTTTAGACTTCATGATTCTTTTAGTACGGGAGCCAATCTGTATGTTGCTGGTCTTCAAGCTCAACGGCGTTGGTAGGGCGAGAGTCTCGATCAAATTTAAGTCCAAGTGGACTGTGGCATGATCCTGTTGTGGTTTACGGCGAGGTTCAGCAGTTCTCATTTGCGACATATGCTATCAGTTAGTATCCTTCCACAACAGACAAGTGGATGGTTGTGTGCTCGCTTTTCGGAGTGAGGGAGCCGTTCTCAAGATCATGTATTGTTGACGTCGTTGTGAGACAGAGTCATAAGTATGTCAAATATACGGGAAGACTACGAGTGGTCTACCATGGGGGTGAGGTTTACACAAAGGAAAGCCGAATTAGGTCCATTTCACGTGCACGAAAGGACCTAACTTTGGCTCGCATTCAATGCTAGCGATCGGGCCTTAGAATCGATTGTGGCGCAGGGACGTATCCAGCGATCCAGTGACTGATCTGCGGCGGCGTGTGTTAGGAGGAACCTCAGGCACGCAGACACAGATGAGAAGGCATGGTTACATCCCAAAACGACCCATCCGTCAGGAACTTCTACTGCTTCTTGGCATACACCTCGAGCTCCGGCTTGATACTCGCCAGCATGTCCTCCGTCGAGTGCGTCGGCTTCCACCCGAGGGCCCGTGCCCGGTCCGCTCGAGCACGCGAATTCGTCCCATGGTAGTACCCGAACCACTCGTTCCCGAAGTACTTGAGGATCTCCTCGTGCGAGAAGGGCGTTGGGTCGGGGCTGTCCGCGAGCCCGAGCTCGTACATAGCACGCCCGATCGCGAGACTGATGTCGAGCCAGCGGTGCTCGCCAGACTCGCCAAAGTAGAGACCTTCCCAGCCGTGCCCGGTCGTGTCGGGGTGGTGGAGAATGCTGTCGAGGAGGACGATGTACATGTCTGCGACTGTGAACAGGGTCCCTCTTGATAATCCTGTTATCGTCATGAATGTAAGATATCACTCACTGTCGTCGATATGCACACTTGGCCACAGGGATAGACCCTTGCCGATGACGCCCGCGCGCTTGCGCGCGAGAGAAGAGCGGATGAGGAGAGGAATCTGCATAGAGTACGGGTTGGAGATGCCCGCTTCGACGAGCGGGTGCGCTGCGATGCCGTATACGGTCGAGGGAAGAACGATGTGCGTTCGCGCGTATCCTTCCTCATCAGCACCAATGACGAGCAGGTCGACGTTGCGGTGGAATGCTGTTGGAGGAATGGACTTGATTTGCTCGATGTTGAGGTCGCTATAGATGGTCTCTGTCGCATATTCGCCCCGCGCATTGTCGGTGAGAAGACCCGTTCCCGACTGAGCAGATCCCGTGAGCGCTGGTTCCGAAGGTAAAGACATTGGTTTCTTACAGTGTGAATGAGAATCGGCAGATCTCCGGTTGTGTCGTGTCTTCTCTTGAGGCCCCTCAATATGGCTTTGTTCAGAGGCTCATCATCGGAGTCAGCCTGGAAGATCGTAGTCAACTAGACGCCAAGGGGAGCGACAGAGCTTCCATACGATATGAAGGATGACGTGATTTGCTGCTACAGCCTCTTCGATCCTATCGTGTTCCGCGTGAGATGCGATCAAAGTCTTCACGCCGAACTTGGACTCGAGAATCCGAGCTTTCTCGGAGTTGCGCACAAGAGCGGTGATGTCAAAGGTATTGGCATCAGGATGGTTCAAAAGGCGATTCAGAAGGGTGCCTCCGATGTAACCTGCAAAGGAGGTGAATAAGGTGTGGCTTGGTCATGTCGGAGTCCATACCTGTCACCCCGGTAATGAAGATGGGTATTCTGCCAGTCATTCTGGACGGGAAGGAGATCGATACTCTACAAAGAGTGCGCTGTGGGAACTGCTGTGATGCCGTGGGGAAGGTACCTAGTAGTACTGACCAGAGTGCTAGCCGAACTTCGACTTCTTGAAGATATACTGGCAGCCCATTCCCCGCTTTCGGATAATGCAGAATATGACAAAGCATTGTCCTCTGAGCCTGACATGCCCAAATCCCACGATGATCGATTATCACCAGTTTAAGTCTGGACGACTCCTAGAGGTAACGCTGAGTAATCTTCGACGCTTGATAGAGCGAGCAGTAGTACGTGTGTTCACCTTGGACTGACTGCAATGCATACGGTCTAACTCGGAGAGATACTACTGACCTCGTCTCGGAAGATAACTTGAATCCGAACACAAGACACAGTCACGGACGCCTAATGAGGATTCATGTCACGTCCACGTGCCTCAATGTAACGCCGGCATCCGCCTTGTACTTACTTACGGACGAAGCCTGATTGATCTGCCAAGTGCATGCCAGTGATGGCTAGTACGCAATAAAGGTTGTCAACCAAAAACTCTCCCCCTCCCCCCTCCTTGTCCTTTGCTTGCCTTGGCCTTGCTAAGCTTTCCTTAGGATGGGCGGTCCCTCCGAGTCTGAGTTCAAGGAAGCAGAGTCGCCGCCGCTCTTGGGCCCCGCTCAGTCGTCAGAAGAGTCTCACATCGACGAGTCGGGGCTCGTGCCGCGGCAGCACGCTCCTGATAATGATGAAAGCAGGGCAGAGCAAGAGTCGACCATAGCAGGATGGCTCGTCTGGTCGTTTATTTTCGTTGCCGCGACACTCCTTTCTCTGGCTGGCCTACAATTCTGGCCCCGAATACGTCCGGATGGCATTCGAGCCGTATGTTCTTCTAGCACGAGCATCGTCGTATCTTGCTCCTTATGACAGTATTTAGGAGCCACAACAGCAATCGCTGGAACTGGAACGGGAGTCCTGGCTGTGCGCAGAGGACGTGAAGCTGTCCATGCTCCCGTACTCATGGCAGGACAACAACCCTCCAACTTATCGGGCACGTGCATCTCTGAAGGTTCCTGTTGCCTCAGAAACCCTCTCGTTCGTCAGCATGGACGACGGCGCCGGATGTGATGGCACTTTCCGGATATCACAAACGGCAGAGCCAGGCACCCAGGCGATTGTCGAGGTCACCGCTTCCTACTCGCAACCAGGAGCAGCCAGGGATGTACATGTGTGTCGCCTGCGCCGCAGGAGGAAAGACGTCGAGGACACATGGAGGCTGGGTATACAGGTCAGTCGCCTTGATACTCACACGAACACCAGCATCTCACTTCTGCAAAGACTCCAAACCCGGAAGATACGGCCGGCGGCTCAGCCGACAACAGACCGAGCGAACCATTACACGTCGACATCCATCTTCGTCTGCCTCGTTCATTTGCTGGCTCTGGCTTGCCACTCAGGATCAACGAGTTGCATACCGATTTGCCGCTCTACGATCATCACCTCGACACGCCGTCCTCGGTACACTTTAGCAAACTCAATATCTCCACAGTGTTGGCACAGATCCACTCGGAGGTATGTCAACCATCATCCTAGACTTTCTCTCACATTCTGAATCATCGATACCCTGACGTGCGGGTATCCTGCTGCAGTCCGTCTCTGGAGACAACATAACGTTACAGTCGGTATACGGTGATATCAGCGGAATGTACAATGCCTCGTCCGCATTGCTTGCCCGATCAGAAGAGGGTCTCGTTAATATCACAGCCCTCCTACAATACGACAACTCGTCAGCGGCGGCAGCCACAACTCTCAACATATCCACATCGACCGGGTGAGTTCCAAACAGCTCTTTCTCCCTTTTTGTCATAAAACTTTGCGATCGTGATCTAACGTGCCCTTTCCCGCCTGCCCCCCGTGGACGTAGACCTGTCTTCAGCGAGATCGCGCTGCACTCCACCACCACAAACACAACGCACAGCAAGTTCGACGTCGTCGCAAATACCGGACACGCCTCCATCAACCTTACCTTTATCGCCTCGCCTGTTAACTCTGTTCTCAACGTATCTGCCGAGATCGCGGACCCCGACGGCGACTGGATCTCTGACTTCGGGTGCCACAGCTGGAAACCGGAATATTGGGACCTCGAATGGGACCTGGACCCAGTCCTACCGTCGCGCGTGACGGTGCAGCTGCACGAGAACTTCGAAGGGATGGTCGACCTCGAGATGCACGCGCCGACCGTCTTCAGACCACAGATCGTTTTCGGCATCGCGGGCGCCCCGAACGCCGAGGAACAGGGCGATGGTGACGATGAGGAACAGGGCGACAGTAACGATGAGGAACAGGGTGACGGTGACGATGAGGAACAGGGAGACGATGACGATGAGAAACAGGACGATGATAACCATGGTGAACAGGGCGACGGTGACGATGCGGCACAGCGCGACGGCGCCCATACAGCACAGCGCGACGGTGACGATGAGAATGAAGAGCAGGACCCGAATCCTCTCACGAAGATCATCGTGAGGGCAGAAGAGGCTGCTGCGGCGTGGCACTGCTTGGCATGCGAACGCATACGCCGAATCGATGCGGAGCGTAGTAGACCCGATGGAAGAGCTACAGTGGGGGGCGTTTCATGGGGCAAGGACAAGGTGGCAATCTCGGATCTGGAGAAGCGGGGCAAGGTTGTCGTAAGGACTGTGGATTCGCCGATCACACTGCTTGTTTAATTTTGTCCCCACACTCGTTTATCATAGAACTCGTTTTCAGTGACAGCCAGGATGTCATCCTCTGTGAGGGCTACTTCGTCTATAATACTGACAGTAGCGTTTCGTTTTCATCTCTGAGGCTCTTGATGTTGCCCTACTAGGGACTAGACGTCTTTTCGCCGCTATACACCTATGTGCGTCCGCGACAAATCATGATGCTCCCCACAGTGCAGCTAATTACTGTTGTTGCAGACGGAGAGGCCTAGTCTGCTGACCCTTTTCGCTCGACTTTGTCGTCACTATATGCCTCATGATGTCTTACGTAGATAGTGAGGACCTCAGCCTGGGACGGCGAAACCAGACGGCATAGAACAAAGGCGGCTTTGAGGATGGATTCCAACGGAATATGGACTCGGGACTAACGCCATTCGTTACGCCAGACGAATCGATTCAAAATCCGGACATCTATGCAAGACCTTTCTGACACGCCCCTACGTACGTCCTTCTCTGCCCCTTTGAAAGCGCTCTACTACTGACAATCAGACAACGTCGACTTCACCAAATCGCAATCAAGACCACACTGCGCATGGAGCATGGTGATGGGCTACAACGACAAATTCGTCAACATGAAGAAAGTAGAGGGGAAGGTAGTTTCCTTACATGGCTCCTCCTAGAAGAATGTCCCCTCAGCGTCCGCTAACATCAGGATCTGGGGGTTCGCCTTGGCGATTTCGTCCTTGATGGTGGCGACTATGCTGTCAGACCCAGGAGCCATGTACCCGGCACGTATGAGGTCCTGGAGAACCACCTTGGTCCAGTAGCGGCAGCCGCTACCAGAAGCGTGGAGCATGTAGTGGTGGCGTTTGTTGCCGACAAGGAGATTGAGAACGGTATCGACGGTGGGCAGTGCATGCCCCGGGATGAAGTGGACATCTTGCTCGGCCAGGACCCGAGTGGTACCAGCCGAATGCGTCCAGTTGCGCGAAATGACATGCATTCTGGTCAGACCAGTCGTGGTCACGAGGCCAACGGAGTTGAGCCCGATGGACAACGGGCTGTTCGAGCTGTCATCGAGCACCAAGAGGATGCGGAAGTGCGCCATCGGGACCGACTGGGTGGAAGTCTCGCCACTGGCACGCCCACCTAGTATCATATTGACGAGAATGCGAACGAAAAGAACAGGCATGGAGCCGTGTTTCGGGTCGTAGCTCTTGTCGGACAGGTTATCGTCCTTCCTCTGTACGGAAATCATTTCTTGGTCTGTGTGACAATAAACGCGTAAGTGCGCACCTGTCATCCAGGTAGGTTGACGAGCCCTGCGGGCAGCCAACTGTGCTTGAAGTTGCTCAGCAGTAGCCATTGCAGTAGGTACGGTAATAGAAAAGTCGCCTGTGAATAGGAGAGTGTGTGAAGAGGGAATGGGCAGGTGGGTACAGGATGAGTTGGTCGGATTGGAGTGCTCTAAAATACTCGAGTGGGCTCGCAAGTGCGCAGCTTTCTCTGCGGTTTCCTACAACGGAAAGAGACCATCTCGTAGTGACGCTTTCTCTGCGGTCGCCGACAACGGAAAGAGACTGGCCGCTTGGAGTGACTCTAGTCGCCCGTTCATGGCAGCCTAATCCGGATACACGGGATTGATGATCTTCCAGCAAGAAGTCCGAGCGGTGGATATTTCATCACAGATTGAGTAAGAAGTTCTACGACAAGGGCACCTTTTCCGTATCCGTGCCCTCTGACTCAGAGTGAGATGCCGCTCAGGATCGTTCAGGGCGCCGCCCATACACCGCTCGCTTCTCCGTGACTCGGAAACAGTAATTTTTCATTCTAGGCCCCAAACGTTTCTGTTCCCTGGGTTGATTTTCGCGAGGCCGCTCGTGGCATGATGTGTGACATGAACCAATAGAGTATCCTAGGACAAGGGTGTCCCTCCCACGGGCATCTGAGTCTAGCTGCTGGCACAACACGGTACACATCTTCTCCATGCTTCTGAAACGCTACGGGCTCCTGCCATAACCTAGTATGTGTTTTTGCGGGGCGGTCCGCATCGCAACCGTGTACATCCTAGGACCAGGGCGCTGTTTCCAATACACATCCGAAGACTAAGTACGCCGCTCGGAACATCTCAGAACATCACTCCATGTCCTCTATACGGGCTCGAGGGATCGATGACGGACTATGCCATTTACAGAAGACATTTTGAAATCGCCCCATCCATCGACAGTGGGTGTGATATGGCCAGGCTCTCACAGTTAGCTCCGAAGATCTGCGATTGTCCATAGGTACTCGAAAGTTTGGGAGTTTACGAGGCAAGCGTACAGGGGACATGTTGTGGGTAGTTGGAGTCAGGAAAGTTAGGTGACGGCGTAAACTAGTATTCAAAGGCTAAGGTAACAGCTACTCCACAGTGATGCCCAACTTCTCGAAATAGTCATCAGGAAAATCCATTTCTTGGGCCTTCTCATCGAAGTTGATTCCATTCGTATAACAAAATAGAATGAATAAGTAGTCGTCATAGTACCGTGAATAATCACCAGCAACAGCTGCCGCATTTGCAGCAAGGTCCTTCCAAGCGGGCACTTTGCGTAACCGATAGTCAGCCTCGACTGACACTGCAATGGCCGCGTACTCGAACCATGGTGGGTACACCCCAGCGACACCCCAGTCGATGAGCCACGGGGTCCCATTTTTGTCAACCAGAATGTTTCGGGGGTGTATGTCCATGTGGCAGAGAACGAGTGGATGGGTGGCGTCGAACTTGGGACATGATATCACCCCCCCGAACCCCATGTGGTTGTATATCCTGACGCGGGAGCGCTGGCGATCGAACCAGTCAGCCATCTCCTGGTAGGAACCGAAAGGTCCAGCTTGGTCTTCGCTGAAGAAAGAGCCCCTGCATTTGACAGGAATGCCGTCAGGATGCAGGGGACCAGGGATTGGCGGGTTTGGGAGGCGGATACTACGGAGTTCTCGCACATAGCCCGCTAGGGCGTCGATAATGCTGCGCTTGCGCTCCTCAGTGAGCGTGTCCCAGAGTTCGAAAAGGGTGCTTCCGTCGATGTAGTCCATGATAATCCAGTAGTAGTCCCCGGATGCTTTGTGGTGCGGAAGGACGCGACGGACGGTGGGAACGGGGATCGAGGTGTTGTTGCGCACGAGCTGCATCGTGTACGCTTCGCTGGGTCCTTCCGATAGCTTGACGATAGCGTCCGGTGCGATGCACCATACTGGATAATAGAGGGATCCGTCCATGGATGGCATGTAACCAACGAGTTGTGCACGATCACGACGGACGCTGTCGATCAAGCGGTACAGTTCCTCGTCGGATAGACTGTCGACGGAGCTGCGAAGAATGAATATACCGTAAGTAAAGATGAGGGTTTGCTTACTGTGTCCGCTCAATGGTACTACTAATGTTCTCAATAACCATCACTATGCAAGGGTGGACGGTGGAGGTGAGGAGACGGTAACGATAACGAATATTAGGATTCGTGGCAAATGCAACAGAGCTAGCGACGGCCCGGGGGGGCCATCCTTGCAGGAGTTTGTTCTTGTTGATAAGTGGCTGTGCGCCGGGCCAACCTACTTACGAGGGAAGCCTCAAGTGACTATGCGCGCGCATGCTATAAACGTTACACAAAACGATAAGCCCCTACACAGCTATTTACGCACACCATCAGACCATGGAGTTCAACCCCCGAGGTAATCCAGCACGTTAGCCGTACCCTTTCGATTATCGGATGAGGCCATGCCGAGCTCAGCCTGGACTCGGACTTCGGATGTCACGCTGAACGTTGAACCCTGCTTCGGGCCGCCCATTTCGAGGTCCGGCTGTGTGTGTACAAAGTCGTGCAAAGGTCTATCGTTTTGTAAAGCTGGTTTCGCTTTCTCTCTTTCTCCCTCTCCTGATAGTGCATGACACCATGTCCGAAGTCCCGAACAAAGTGGCTGTCACTCAACCGTCAAATGACTTGGATGCATTCTGCATCATCCTAAAATCCAGCAAATGCCCCGGTATTCTCACCGGAGCCGGCCTGAGCGCGGCGTCTGGGATCACCACCTACCGTGGAACAAACGGGCAGTGGCTCACAACTGTCCGACTTTCCAATGCTATGTTATGTGCGCTGCACCCGTTACTCAGTTATCTGATTGCAGAATCCCATGGAAGTCGCCTCTCTCCAAGCTTTCCAAGACAATCCCGGCCGTGTCTGGGCTTATTATCACCCCAAACGCGATCAGCGCGTATCATTCCGTTGGCTTCAGGAGTCGACGTGCTGATCTATCACAATCCAGGTGCATGGAGGCTAAGCCGAACGCTGCACATTACGCGCTGGCATCGCTGTCTCTCCCGTCCATCCGCGCTCAAATCTTCCCCAATCTCGTACAGAAAGACAAGCCGCCACTATACGTTACGCAGAACTTCGACGGGCTATGTCGGCGAGCACTCGACGAGACGCTGGACAAAGCCTCCTCCCCCGAGGATCAACTCGATGCTGACGAGCGCAACGAGGTGCATGCACGTCTCGTCGAGATGCACGGGTCGTGCTATCGCTTTACGTGTACGCAGTGCAAGTGCGTGAAGACGACCGCGGAGACGCCTTTGGCACCCATCTTCAACGATCAGGCTGTGATCGAAAGGGCAAAGAATGGCGAGGAGCTCATCGCCGTGGAGCAACTTCCACGATGCGGGGGGCCGGAATGGTCGGGGTCGAACAGGTACAGCATTCATCGTATCTATCCCGTGGGGTTGAGCTGATGAATGAACAGGTACGGGCGTTGTGGCGGGCTGCTTCGCCCCGGTATTGTGTGGTTCGGGGAGATACCCGAGGGCCAGGGCGAGATTACGCGCATTCTCACGAAAGTGGACGTGCTCCTTGTTGTCGGGACAAGCTCTCTTGTACGTCGCTCGCTCGTTCCGTTACGGTCCTTCCTTCTGACTCCATCCCTTCGCAGGTCCACCCCGCAGCGACATACGCCACGACCGTCAAAAAGAACGGCGGCACGGTCGCCGTGTTCAACTTGGCGCCTTCGCAAGGCGATGACAAAGCGGATTTCGTCTTCTACGGTCCCTGTGAAGAGACGGTCCCGGCATTATTGGAGCGTGCCAGACAAACGGTTGTTGGCACGGAATGATTGTGTCGTATATGTATGTCGGGTTTGCTGGCTATATGCGTCATCTACAGCTCATCAGTAACATATCAGCTCAAGCACTATAGATATGAATAGAAACCTTGTCAATTGCTGTCCTAGTGTAAGACCCACTCCTCGTCCTGGTCTTACTCGGCACACTTCACATATTACGTACGCATACACTTATATAGCCGACGACCTATACCGTGCTCTTTAGCTCTGCTCACCACGGTATAGGTACGTATTCCCATAAACATGTATCTTAGCTCTGCTCACCACGGTATAGAATTCGTTCTAGTTTACATCCTCGGAGTCAGTGAGGAGGTTCCGTGAGCCTCCTTCCACCTAGTTGTCTTTGTGCAGAGGCTCTCCCTGCAATTAAATGTATGCCGTATCGTCTATGACGATGGTACTTATCGTTCACGGAATCGAACGTAGTCGCTGCAGATCGCTACAGAGATGCTCTGATACAAGTGCCGAACGAAACCTCCCGGAGGGACAGCTCACGTTCCCCGCTCAGGTCGACGCGCACGCGAAGCGCTGTGGCGACAGCGCCGTTCGAGTCTGAGACACGGACATGAGAATGTAATAGGCCAGCAGCGCAGAGATATGGCACAGAGGAAGTCGGCAATACTACGCTGTTCGTGGAACTGGTACAACTGCTTCAGTTCTGTCAAGTGGGCAACAGAGCACGGGAACGACTCACCACATATTAACATCATTAGCCCGTGAGTGGGACGTTGACCGCCCAGAATATAATGAGGCATAGTCGAGAACCATCGTCATACGCCCGAGAACGAACGTCCAGAAAGAATGTAGGCTCGACACATAATCATCAAGACTAGACTAACATCTAAGATACGTCTATTCAGCAAGAGGTGTGCCCGCGTCATCTAGCTCACATCTAGGAAGCCCAGTAGGCTTCGAATAAACCAAAAAGACACATGATCGCGCACCTCGAGACCCAACGTTCAGAGAGCAACCGCGGCAGCCGCTTCCCCGTTTTGCGTCTCAGCCTCATTCTCCTCGGCCGCTACGTCCGTTATCGGCGTGCCCACCGTCGCCTTCGTCCCCTCCTCTCCCTCCTTCGCCTTCGCCTCCAACTCGGCTTTACACTTCACATCCCACTCCCTAACGCCAACCTTGGCGCCCAGCTCCCTCCACGCCACCCACATCTTCTCCCTCCGCTCCGCACATAACCTGACTAGAGGCTCCCAGTACCGCTCGTGAACGTATTCGAAGTCCGCCTGGCCCCCCTCCCACTCGGCGAGGAGCTGCCCGGGGGCAAAGAGGCCCTCTCCGGTGCAGTCGGGGTTGAAGCGGAGCTTGGGGCGCGTGAGGGGGTCGATGAAGGGTGTGATGAACTTGAAGAAGGCGTTGACGAGGAAGGGGACGTTGGTGACGAGGGCGCGACCGAGGCGCTCCGGGTCTGAGCAATGGGTGAGCCCAAATTAGTCGTGAAGAGAATTTAGGGCCTTGGCGGACGCACAGTGTGTCTGGAGGATGTTGAGGACGAGGCGGGATTGAGTCAAAGAGGGGTTCTTTGCGCGGTCGGCAAAGTTCACCATTAAGGCTAATGTCCTGCGCGGGTACACAGATATGAGTAGGCTGAGCGTGAACGCGATGCGTTCAGAGACGTACTCGACACCTGGGCCCATCAACTCTGTTAGACGTTCTAGCGCCCAGACGACGAAGTGCACTTGGCGGATGCTCTCCTCGGTGTTCTGCCTGCTGGGGCGGAGGTAGAGGGCCGGCCGATTGTCGGTGTCGTAACCCCAGAGCACCATTTTGCCCGTCAATGCCTTGAGACAGACAGATATCGGAACCTGGTATGAATGCAAGTACGGGAGAACATACCTCAGGTTCTACGTGCGATGCGGTAATCACATCGTAGACACCGAACTCCCGCCTCCACTTTAGCGTACCCTCGAGCCGCTTGATTGCTGCCTGAGCACTGGCCCACTTAACGGCACGAAGGAACCTGGGCGATAGGCTGTGAGAATCGACTCGAGGCGTCCGCCACAGCTTCCATACCTCAGCAAGCATTCAGCGCTCTTGAAATTGAATATGTCACCATGTCAGCGGTTCCAGTATAGTCAGTGCCCTGGCGAACGCACCAACCAGAACTTCTCCTCCTCCGTAAGAGTCCCGTTCTCCACATCGGGAAGAACGTAGTCTTCCTTGTCGAAGTACTTGAGAACGTCATCGAACAGCTTCTGCTGCACGTCCGTAAGCTGAAGATTCGACGGGAGGGCGGCAGGATCGAACGGGATGTCCGGAGGCGGGCTGGCTTCGTATATTTTCTCGGTATCGGCGGTCATGGCTGCTCAAACAAAGGAGGGGCGTGTCAGCACAGCGGCGGATGTGGGTATGTTGAGTCCGAGCTAGCTGAGAGCGGGCGGCGGAAGAGAGCGGCGCTGGAATGCATCAGCCCATTCCGAACGGATCGGGCAACTCTCCCTGCACGTGCCCCCGCCGCCGTTGTCCGTTCCGCGACCCTAAGTACATAGTATCTGCTTGAACTACTTTTCACGCCTCTCTCTTCCTTCCTTGAAGCCGGCACCGCATGTATCCTCGGCCATGGCTGCAGCCAGAGAGACTCGCCTAAGAGTCATCGCGCTGTACAAGGAGCTACACCGTCTTGGCCGCGACTATCCTGATCCTGCGTATGTCTTTGGTCTCACGCGAGCAGGCAAACTTACAGGACTTAAATTGGCCGTCTTTCAGGTACAACTTCCACAAGAAGCTGCGTGGACTTTTTGAGAGTAAGTCTCTGCTTACCCTTCATAGCGTTGCTATACCGTGTATGAACGCGACTCCTGGGGTGGGACAGAGAACCGCAACTTGACCGATCCAGAGGAGATCGAGAAAGCTATTAAGATGGGAGAGTACATTCGCAATGGTGCGTCCTGTTCAGCTATTTTATCTGTACACTATTCCGTATCCTCGTTCCTTCAGAAACTCTCGCCTTATACTCTCTTCGCAAATATCGCCATCTGAAGCGGATGTATCCCAACCCATCCCCCACGGACCCGACACCATAGCACGAAGTCCTATGAACAACCCATTGCTTATGATTGTTATCCCGATAGTACGCTTGGTATGTATGATAAGGCAGTATTAGATGGTGGAGAGCCGAGAGCGGTGCGCCTTGACGATGCGTCGATCCACGTGAGATACCGAGGTACGTTCGTTAAGCTATGCTGTGTTGATGCAGCTATCACGTCGTTCTAGTTTTTGGTAGCTGACTTTGATATCATAGGACGCAGAGCATTGTATCATATGGCTTTCCCTTTTGTCAATCTGTAGTAGCCTTGGGCTCCACGTTGACCCGATGGTCTCGGGTTACCAATGAACAGGATGTTCATGACGCTAGCGAAACCGAAAGACGAATCATTCAAAGAAGTCATAAGTCGACAAGACCTTCGGGAAGAATAGCTGATATATCACCTCGGCTATGGCTCTACCAGTAGCCATCGTCGTCATCCAGAGAAGCCTGGCCATACTCCGGGAGCTCCTGCAGGTCCGGATCCTCCTTGAACGCATAGCGCACTATGATCCCGCAACTATCAGCGGTCTCAATCGTAATAAAGTCCAAAAGACACTCACGCAAGACATGCTCACCCGCATCGTACGCGTACCCAAAGAACGTCTCGTTGTGATACGCGTCCTTCGGCCAGTTATTCTCGTCATCGTCGTCCTCCATGCTGTCGTACTCATCGCCATCGTACTCCTCGTCATCTTCCATGTCGACATCCTCTTCTTCCAAGCCGTCGTTTTCACGCTCATGGTCTTCCGGGCATAGCTGCGCCCAGCGCGGAATGCGTGCATGCCGGTATCCGTGGGTGGAACCTAGGCGGTCCATGTAGTCGCATTCCGTAGTGGCGTAGAGGACGTCACGCTTCGCGTCCCAGCTGAGCGTGCACACGCTGTTATTTCCTGTGCTGAGCTCGTACACGACCGCCTGCGCACGGATGTCCCAGCATCGGACGCTCTGTGACTTGTCGCCCCCGGTGAAGAGCGCTGCAAGTGCGGCGTCAGCATATATGCGGACCCGAGCAAATGAAATGAAATACGTGGATAAAGGACGTACTCGGGATGCCATCTGGGTAGACGAGCTGAACCGAGGTGCAGAACTCGCTCAGCTTGCCCGAGTCAATCGTGATCACCGGGAGCGGATGGCGTACGTCATACAGCCGCGCATACCCATCCGCGCCCGCAGTCGCAAAGACGTTCGCGTCCCCTGCGCTCGTCGAGAACCCCTCGATGGCATTCCCCCCATGCCCCAAGTACCGTGCCACCTTCCTGCCGCCCTGCTCCAGGTCAATCGCGTAGCACCCGTACCGCCCCGCGGAGTTCCGCCCGTTCTCCCCGACGAGCATATGCCCGCTCGGGTCGTGCAGGTGCCAGCTGTCCGGGGCGAAGGTCTCGTCCCCTGCTCCCGCGAACTTGACGGTCGTGGTTGGGGTGGTCCCAGTGGACCGCTCGATCTCCCCGTTGTCGTTGTCGCGCCACGAGTCGTCGGAGTACTTGCCCCTCCCTACACGCCTCCCGCCCTTGTGCGTCGGGAGCTCGTCGATGTTCCAGAGCGCGAACCCACCCTTGCCGGCGCGCACGACGCGGCCGTTCGGCAGGACAGCGAGGGGGCCGCGGTACCGGTCGCTGTCGAGCGTGTGGACGTTGTTGCCCTGTGTGGGGCTCCAGCCCTCAAACTCAACGCCCCCGGACTGGCCCCAGCAAAAGGACTTGATGCGGTGCGAGTCAGCGACGAGGGCGAGCTTGCGTGGGGTGTCCAGTGCGATCTGGTAAGCGACCTCGGACAGGCCAGGGTCGATGTTCATGCAGCGCCAGTCTAGGCTCTGAGACGAGCGCGCACCGGCAGGCCCGCCCCCTTGCTCAGCGCTGCCTTCGTCGAGGAGGTAGAGCGAGAGGACGGGGTCGCGATTCTTCCAGCCGCCTTTGCCTGCAATGGCGAGGACGGAAGAGTCGGATGCGATTGCTGCGTTGACGGGGCACGGGATGCTGTATGAGGCGACCTCACAGCGCGCTTGGTAGATCGTGCGCGCGAGTGGAGTCGCGTCTGTGGCTGAGGGCCTCACGTTATCGCGGAAGCGCGAGAGGCGGGTGGACTTGGGGTGAGGGGGTTGTGACTTAGTCCATGGGGGAGGAACGAACTCTTCACGCTGGGTTGCAGACAAGGGGCCTAGTGAGCGGTGGTTGTCAGACGGCGCGTTGTATACGCTTGGATCATGTGTGGTCATGAGCTAGGTACTTCACCTGCACCGTTCACTCGCATGCTGTCAATGATCCTCAGGAGCTCGATGGCGGGACCTGCGCCTGATAAAGTGTACACGAGATTGGTGTGAGAAGACGTACGGGTATATCTGCGCCACGCACCAAAGCCAAAACGATGGAGGGGGTCCTTGATGGGCGGGGCGTCCGGTGTATGCGCGTACGACGGCAGGAAGTCAAAGTCACCATCGCCGTACGCCCAATTGATCGCGCTGTCGTAGATCGCTCCCGCCTTTTCGACTATCTCGGTGAGGTTGGGTGCTCCGCGCGTGTCTGCTTCGCGAACGACGGCAGCGACCTCTTTGAGCAGGTCGAGGTATGGGTCGTGTTTTCTAGGGTCGTTGTATTGTGCAATACGGTTTGCGAGGTGATCTAGTTGTTGGAGATATGAAGACATGCTGATGGGCAGGAATGAACGCGTGCGGCAGAGTCCAGACGTCTGTCAGAGGCTGCTCGAGGAGATTGGGTTTTGTACCTTGGCACGACACGTGACATGAGTCTGTGGAGCTGTGTTCAGGTCGGGGTCGGTCGGGGAGCAGCGATATTGCTTTGGTGCCTTCGCGAACAAATCCCGCTGCCGCTGCCCCTCTTGAATCGCTTCATGAGGACGCACCTTCGCCCGCTCCTCTAGGTCCTGCGAAGCGAATATGGACTTCTCCGAGACGGTCGATGGTATGTCTGTCATTCAAATGCTGCAAACGATGTTCGTCCAAGCTGTCCGTTCGTAATACAGAAGTTCTATCTGAACGTACTCATCGAACCCGGGCGTACCAAGCAGACCCCAAGCCTCATCTCGTCCATCCCGAATTGGGTGTCCCAGATACAGAAAACGATGCTCGACGCAAAATGGTGTTCTACTGTTTAGTACCGTGGTCCTTTTGTGAACATTCCAGCGATTTGTCAGGTCCTGCACGCAGACCGTGGGGAGCTATAGAAGTGTGCTGTAGCTAAGGGCCCAAGTCGTCAATGAGACGGTTTATATGCGCTGCATGGCGTGCAGGTGCGTGGATGTGGTCAATAGTCGCATCAGGCGAGGAGTAACTGCGAGAAAGCTGATAGAGAAGGGTCTTGATCTCGAGCTGCTGCGTTATCGAGTAGGCCGAAGCTGACTAGATGTTGACGTTAGCTCAATCCACTTTCAACTGCAAATCCGTCGAGAGCCTCACCTGGGTCAGAAATTTCGCAGCTGCCGAGGCATGCAGAAACGTGACTGTTTGAGTGGCATCAGCGTACAAACATGACGTATAGTGCGCGCAGTACATACGCTCTGGCGAGGATTGCATAATACCACAGGGAATCAACGTATCGACCATTGCGATCACGACCAGCTTCGCATAGTGGAAGGCCTGATAGTAGTCAGCGCGCGTGAAAATTCACTTGTAAGAAAAGAGGAAATACCTTGCCATATAGGTAGGCACTGGCTTCTGAGCACGGCGACACTCGCAGCAAAAGCGTGGAACAGAAAGCCATGGTCGCATAACTTCCAAGGCTGGGCGACAATGAGACGTGAGCGCGGCAGTCGAGATCACGGTGACGGTATAGACTTACAAGTCAACCAGGTTTGTATGGAAAACGGAACATGGGTCTCGAGCAAAATGAGAAACTTCACCTCGCTGACGCACCGAGGTTATGCAACTTACTCATATCCTTCCCCGGGGCTGTGTCTGGAACCACTTGTCGTGTCCACTCGTCTGTGCAGCGTATCACCTCATCCTCATATGTGCGAAGGACCCTCACAATAACCTCTGTGTCCTACTCAATTTAGATTGGTTGTAGATAAAGTGGTTGTCGTTGGCATGATAGTAGTTACGACGCATCAAAACACACCTTGCACTGTGTATTTCGCTGGGACAAGTCAGCGCTCGCTGTGTCCTGATAGCGCGCTGTGATTTGTAGGATCTGAAGATATGCTCCGATCGTGATGTCGGACTAGGATATACTGTCAAAGTACTCCAAGTGTGAACTTAGAGTTGCCTTACCGGAACCTTCAGCGGAATATTCTCTGGGCAGGCCCTTCCAAGGAAGCTGAACAAATCCCGCTTTAAAGTTGGCAGAGAAACATTATGCGCAGCTGCACCTAGTACCTATCATGCAACTTGATATGCGGTTGCGGCCCTTCAGTGAGTCCAGTGACCATGGGATGCTCCATGATGTAGCACAAGAGCCGCAACCTGGCAAGGTCGGATCGATACATGTTGTGTCTTCTGACCGATGACGAATGACCAAGCGTCTTCAAAGTGCTGTAGGAAGAAATGAGACGAGTGCGGTGTTTAAGTGCGTGTTGAGAATCTCATACCGAGTCGCCAACCTCAAATAGGGACTTTTGTCGACACCACGGGCGCCCAATTCTGTATCGTACATCGCCATTAGAACATATGCTTGGACTAGTTCCAGAGATGGGGCCTCATGCAGCATTGCATACTGAGCGCTTCGCTTGGCTTCGCAGACAATGTGGGGTAGCAGACGAGCCGAGTCGACATCGTATCTCGCGGCAATCGTACACACTTCGAATACAATCAGCATCTGTCACGCACAGGAGGTGCGCATGCTTACCTATGATGAACAAGGTGGGACTCTTCATAATTGTATACGGAACAGTGTGCAACGTTTTATCCAACACGTTATAGTGATTCTGTACTTGGGTTAGCAGGGACGAAAGAGGTGCGCTAAGGTGTAAACGACGTGACATACATTGACCTTTGCGAAGAAACTTGACAAAACTCAGTGCGCGTTCGATGCGAAGATAGTATAGACTCACACTTCGAACAAGCGGTAGGCTTCTGGCGGAGTCAAGAACCAGAAGAGGGGGAGCGGCCGCAACCCAAGCGCCAAGTCCATTAGAGTAGGTACACACATAGCTTTCCATCGCATAACCTGCAGTGCCAGACTAGTTAGACTGACTGAGAATGATCTGTCTGAGATGCTTCACTCGCTTGTCTCAGCCGTCGTTCCGCACGAATGGTCTTTCCGACAAGGCTGCCAAAGTTATCCAGAGGGCACGTGTACGCGCACGAGGGGGAGAAGCCCAGACTGTTCGCAAGGTTGAACCTAGCAACATTCGAGCAATGTGCTGTGATCTTGGGGCCCCACGATTCACACGCAGAGTACATGATGCTCAACACCCCCACTTGCAAGGCTGTCAGAATCGCAATGGTTACGAGACTGGCAACGTTGCATACCTCCTTGGCTATCGACCAGGATATCGGGCTTGCGTTGCTGCAGCATAACCTTCAGATCGGAGAAGATAGGATAGCGCTGCGATACAGGTTGACTTGTCATAGTGGTCTCGCGAGTAATAATGTTACGTACTTTGAGTATCTCAACAGCGTCTTGGCTAGATGCAAAAGCGACCCTAGCTTCGGAATGCTGAGACAATTGAGTCGGTATGAGACAATTTGATACGAATCGCGGCATTCAGACCTCAAGGATGTAATCCAACAGGCATCCGACAGGATCGAATTTCTGAAAAGTCGATGATTGACAAACTCGACTGGTTAATGCAAAACTTATACATACATCGGGATTGTCATGAGTACTTTCAATGTCTTCGAGACCCAAATTGTCGATGATGTCGTGCTCTGGGTCCTCGGAGACAGGCGGTAGGTTGTGTGGGCCGGCTGCGGCACGGATCGTAGGCCATATGATCCTACTCTTCATCTTGTAGTAGTGAAGAAAGATACACTGATCGGAGGCCGCTACGTTCTCGCTAGTCAAGCGCTCTGTCTCAGATCGGGTTGGCCCAGAACGGTAAAAGACAGCAGGGGAGTCACAGCGTGTCATTGACACCGAAAACTCGCCCGATTCTGAAGCAAGTGGTAGGAATCCTCCAGAGATTGACAATTCGCCGTTTGAACCCCCACTGCGAACCGCCGCCGCAGCCCATTCCGTTGTCTTGATGAAACCGGACACAAACAGGATCTCCTTTTCTTGGAGACCTATCCCCAGATCGCCGTTAGCAAATTCGTGCCAGCGAGAGAAGTGTTCTAGCATGTATGTCTTAATGTGGAGCCGGCAGTCCAAGAGCTCGTAATGACCAGCGCGCTTCAACAGGAGTATGGCGCCAGAGCTGTCGCTACAGTGATATCGAAGAATCGCGTTCCCAGATGTCGCCGGAGCACTGCATTGCACGTGAGCGACAGGCAATCTCACTGATGAAGTAACGTACTCGACAGAGACTCCTCCTGACAATGTTGTCAAGCGTAGGTTCGCGCTGTGCAGCTGTCCTTGCATGATCTCGTTTGGGCGGCACACTAGTTGGTGCCCTGGCGGCCTGAAGGGTTGAAAGCCTTGAGGAACGCCTACGCGAGTATTCCTGGGATTATCTTGTTCCTTCATAGAACTGAAGATGAAACGGAAGCCGCCCGCACGGAGATATCCAACATCACCTATGCAGATCTCCCCAGACTCGACGCACGGCTCCGGAACCCAGAGAGGATGGCCATATCCTAATGTAACAAGCTGCTCTGCGTAGATATCCCAGGCAGAAACCATGGATGAAGGGTCTGCTGTTCGGGTTGGGGAGTAAGAGGGAGAGAACTGGGAAAGGGGAAGGAGAAAGAGTCCGATGGCCCCGACTACGGTGCTGCATTGCCTTTAAAGCTGACGCCATGTTCACGGTCGCAGAAACCTATCATGCTGCGCAGAAGGGTGAGGGCCTGATGGTATGAATAGAAGCTAAAGGAACATACGAGGCCCGCACAGCTCGTAGTGTGGAGCAAATGCGACATTGATAGCATACCATATATGCATGCGTCAACTTTGACAAAGTCACCTCGACAGCCTTCATCGTGTACCTGGACTGCCAAAGCCTCGGCTGTCACAGATGTCGAGGATTCGAAGATTGTTCGTTCCTGATAGGGTGTACGGGAGCCTTCCGAAGATGACGTGGAGATATGCTATGTTGTAGCATATTGTGAAGGCCGCTGACTAGGTTGGACACTAGCGGTGCACCTATCTGCTAACTCATCGAGGCGTGTAATACCCTGCCTCAGCGTCTGAGCGGAACAGCATGTGTCCCATCGTTGAAAATTCTGCATTTCCAAAAGAAAGCAGTCAGTGACATACTATGATTCGCGAATGACTTTAGTAGAGTAGCCAGGAAGGAGATGTCTAACCGACCCGCTGGACAAGATCGCGACGCGAGGCATGGAGCATGCACTAGGAGACGACATGTATATTTGAGTTCATAGGGACATAGACGCGAGAGCTCCTGTTCCTGATGTTAGTCCACACGCGGTACTAGATGACAGCGTGAGATGTACTCGCCTTCGATATGTGCGGTCATCGCAGAGCCACCTTCCTCTATCATGTGCTGCGCGTCCCTTCCCTCGTCCTCCGATATCTCCACCAAACTCCTCCGACCACGGTCGTCGACGATTTTCCACCAACGCTGCTCTCTGATGCAATCGACGTGCCTCAGTTCGTCCCACTCGTAGACGACATCCTTCCGTGTGCCGTTGGAAGCGACATCGTGCGACTCCACTAACGAGTCATCCCAAAGGGCCGGGTTGGGCGCCATGTCAGCGACTGAAAGGTAGCGAAGCGATGGTATCGCGTCGACGAGGGGACGCGGAAGCGCAGCCAGAGCATACACGCGTTCTTTCTCGCGCGTCTTCGCATCTGACAATGCACCCAGGTTGTCCACCTCGGAGTCCAGTTCCCAGGAGTATATCATGCGAATCGGCTGCGGCGTTGGGGGAACTAAGATCTTCAGCACGTGTACATGTATGCCCCGAAGTGCTTCAAGATAGAGTCGAGTCTAAAGAGACCGTTGAGGCACTCTAACAGTGATAGAATCGGATGACGTACCAGCCAGTCGCCATCTTCTCCAGACTGGGATAGGAAGTGGTATAGCTTGAGTTCCAAAGAGCGTAGCCTGGGAGCATAAGCTGTGATGTCCCTCCAGAACGAGGAAGAGAACCCGCCCATTCCGACTCGGACGGACACATAGAGACTGATTGGGGATGCGGTGCTAAGAAGCTCGAGGAACTGGGACACAGCGTCTCCGTCCTCGGGAGCGCTGAACCCGACGAGTTCCAGTGCACCCGCTATCTGCAGGAGATCAACAGTCTTCACGCGATCCACGACACATACGGCTTCTTCAGGGGTCGCCAGCATGAGTCGGCGAAGTGGGTGCCACCGTGGACCAGAGCTCGCAACCACGTCGCCAAAGTCGCTGTCTACCGAGAACACGAGCGTAGAGAGGTTGGGACAGAGCTCGACCATGCTGAGTGCAGGTACCGATGACTGGCTTAAGCGAAGATAGCGGACGGAAGGGAGGTAGGGGAGGGCGGCGGACTCTGTATGCGGTGGTGTGAAATTCCACAATTTCACCGTGTGGAGGTTATCGAATCGTGCGAGGGCTTGGACGAGAGGCGGAAGAGTCTTTGGCTCATCCAACGGGTCGTCGTATTCGGTGTGGTATGAAAGTGTGAGACGTTTTGGATCCGCTAGGTATCGAAGCGAATCGAGCGTGCCGTCACCCACCATTGAAAGCCGGACGTGCGCAAGTCGATGCATGGAGGAAAACGAGCCGGGTATGCTCGCGTGTGCCTCTATGAGAGCATGGAACCGATCCAGGGAGAGCTCTTGGATATTCTGCGCGTGGAGCAACAGCTCCCCGACGAGATGGGCCTGAGAGAAGTCCGTTCCGACGAGGGACTGACCGTCCAATTCGAGATCGTCTATGTCAACTCCCTGTGAGTCAGAGGCATATAGGTCCTTTTCAAATGTAGAAGCATGTATTGTCAAGTTCTCCAGATACTTGGCTCGAAGGACCGCCGTATAGGAATCGGGAGACGAAAAGTAGTCGCACAGTTGGCGGAGCTGCGGTGGGCTCCAGCATTGCGCCACAGAAGCGACCCGACCTATAGCTAAGCAGTAGATTCCTTTGCAAGTGAGGCATACGCGGAGTGCATCTCCTCCCTGTAGATGGGTGAAGATATGGAGGAGGACGTCGTCGTTGAGCGAAAGCAAGTTCATATTGTGGCAGTGTACGAGATCGATAGTATTGCTTAGCGCTAAGCACCGTCTGGCTAGCTCCTCTCCGCACGATGACTGGCTGAATCTGGCACGGATAGGATGAATTGCCACGAGGGAAGTACGTCCGTGTAAACAGAGTATGAGCTGTAGTACTACAGTATGATGACGAGGAAGACTGCGGGTTGTTCGATTCTATGACTGTACATTGTAATAATCCTGACGATGACACAGCGGAGCAACGTTCCAAGGCGTGAAGTTCGTAAGCACAGCGACAAAACGACATGAAAACTCAGGCATTGACAGCGGTTGCAGGAGTAGGAGAGCGCCTCCCTGCACGCCACCGCGACCACACACCGTATGCCACCTCAGCATCCTTCAGGAGAGTCTCCAGCAGCTCCTGCTCCTCTTCGTCGAGTTCCTTTAGCTCCCAGTCAGCACTCGTGAAAGTCCATGGCGCGTTCGACGATAGCTTCTGGACCATCTTCGCCTTCCAACACTCCCAAACCTCGGTATCGTTAGGAATGAGGCCATCGAGGAGTTTCCGCGGCTTGCGGAGGGGATCGTTGGCATCGGGCTGCAGCGCGAGACATGCGAACACCGACATCGCGGTCCAATTGCCGAACTCGAACTTCTTGATGTGGTCTTGCTCTAGCTTCAGGATGTCGTCAACGAGAATGGTTGTCTGGATATCCTCGCGATCGATGGAGGAGAGGAAGGTGTTGTACGCCCATGATACGGCGAGGGTTGCGACGAACAAAATCTGGCCCAGCAACTGGCCTTGGGGGATGAGAAGGAGCTGAATGAGGAACTGCAAAGTGAGAAGGATGGCGGCGAAGCCGATGAATACGTTTCGTGGTTGGCTCTCCGGTGGTAGTCGAGGCTTGACGTCGGAAGCCGAGGTGGCGTTCGCATCCGTCTGTTGCAACGTGGGCAGCTCCATGCCGTCCGGGAGTCCCTTGTCGAGAGATCCCCGACCCAGAGTCTTCCGGCGCGTAACTGTTCGCGTTGGTGACTTGGAAGGGCGAGGTGGCTGGTAGCGGAGGAAATAGCGACCTCGCGTAACAGAGTTGACCGCACCCTCCTGCCCGCGAAGCACGACAACACCGCCTCCGCCCTTCAGGATGCCATCTCCAGGGGGCGCGCCCTTCGCAGGGTTATGATGCTTGAACGTGAGCTTGCCCGAACCGAGGACGAAGCACGCTGACCCACTCGCGATGATGCCAAGGGCGATACTCGCGAAGCAGAACCAGTCCCAAGTGAGCGCGCAAATGACGCAGGCCGTGAAGCTAGCTGCGATAGGAATGATCGCAAGCAGCCCTGACCCGCTCCAGCGCAGGGGAGGTTCCACACGCTCTTCGGGAACATGATGTAGATCGACGACCGTGACGCTCGCGGGGGTTGTAGTGCGACCTGCATCGTCACGCACCCCGCGCATGCGCCCGGCTTTGCGCGTGAGGAGGTACGCGAGATGTCCGGTATGGGTGAAGCTCGATCCCGAGCGCGCTGCAAGGAAGTCGGGCCCCGCCTTGCCGTCGAGCCCAAAGAGCTGTGAGGGATCGTGTGTGCCTCCAGGGAAGAGACCGTCCCACAGGCGCGAGTTCGCGAGCTGACCGTATTGCTTCGCGATCTCGTAAGAACCGGGTGTGTTGTACCATCCGCCCCAGCGACGATACTTGAAGAGGTTGACGGTGGCCATTCCGGAGACGGCGGTGTCACCGCCGAAGAAACCAGCTACGCCAGAAGAGTCGAGCGTGAAGGATGATTTGTTGAGGGACTGGGGCTGGTGTAGGACACCGGAATCATCGTTGAAGCGAGGTGCGAGCTGGACGAGCCGAGATAAGAGAGGCGCCATCGTCACGGTGCTCTTGTATGATCGAGGACCATGCGAGTCCTCTGAGGGCAGCAGCGGTCGAGGATGGAGGAGCGGATAGGAGGAGTAGCTAGTCAGATGGGGGATTTTGTCAGAGCAGCCATGCGTCCACCGTCCAGTAGCGCTAAGTGGCAAGTGGAAACCTTATACAACCGTGCATAGTACTTCGCGAGGCGGTGAGACCGGAAGCTCCGATTTCCTTGTTCTTGCCGCTCTGTCACAGGCTCGTGCTGAACGTTGCGCCCCACCTGCAAAACCCATCGGCACTCGTAGTCATGCTTATTATCTCTTGTCGCCACTGTCGCGTTTGTGGCCTTGAGCATTTGTTGCGAAACTTCGACGATCCCGATACAGTCGATTTGGCTCCGGAGATACTGACTGCGCGCGCACAGCCGAGGCGTTAACAGGCAGCCTTTCGGCCCTTTCCACTGTCGGATTGTCGTTCTGCTGAGAATGCGTGGTTCGACGGGACGCGCAGGGCTACGGCATCTGACAGGCTGCTGAGAACCGTGGCTGTCGAGTCGTGTCTTCGGCGCACAGGTACCTCGTCAGTCTGCAGGAGAGGCCACTGCTCCTTACCCGTCCATGTGTGAGGAGATATCAGTATATCGATGGCCCTACAGACATCAAGGTAAGCAGAGCTGTACAGCATTTGACTACATAGGGTGGCCTAGGGTGGCTGGCATAGCCGACTCTCGCACGAGGGAGACCGGCGCTAGAATCCGCCAGCGCATCCCTCTGTCAGCGTAGACGATGACCACATTCGAGTTGCGGACTTCTGGACTGTTACGCGTTTCCACTGCACTTCAGTAGGTTGAATGAGCTGTCACTTGGATTGGTACTATTCGAATGACATTATGCATTAGGTACAGATTCATGTGCGAGGATGAGAAACGATGATGATGGAAGTGTAGACTATTGTACAATGCTTATGGTGCGTGTCGTAACGAATAACCGTATCTAGCAATTCATGCGATCTCCAGCCTCGCTTCCCCACCCTACTCGCAGAGTCTGGGGGACTTAGGATACTCCTTGCGAAACCTTTCGTTCGCCGCCTTCGCATCTTCAATCAATGCGACCAATAGCTCTTGTGCCTTGTCGCACTGCTGCTTCTCGTAGACATCCGTCGGCTCCTGTTTCCTCAGCTTACGGTCATCGTCCGTGAACTGCCACTCGCCTGATGTGCCCATCTTCTCACGCATAATATCCTTCCACTTCGCCCACACCTCCGTATCGTTTGGCAGCAGATCATCCAAGATCTTTGGCGAGTTCGGGAGCGGGTCCTTGGGCTGCAGCGCGAGGAGAGCAAAGATGGACATCGCTGTCCAAGTACCGAACTCGAATTTACGGATGTTCTTGTCCTCGAGCTTCAAGATTTTGCACAGGATCTTCGTCTGGATGTCCTCGCGGTCAATCGATGAAAGGTACGTGTTGTACCCCCACGAGACCGCAAGGGTGCAGACGAACATGACCTGGCCGAACAGAACGCCTTGCGGGACTAGGAGAAGTTGGACAAGGAATTGGGCGGTGAGGAGGATGGAGCAGAGACCGATCGCAAAGCTGTTCGGTTGTCCACCTTGAGGTGCGGTATCCGTGTCGCGCGCTTTGCGCTCCCTCTCCTGCGCTTCCTTGGCTATCCGGCCAGCCTCCTGCTCCTCTTCCGCTTGATTCTCACCAACTTGCTTCTCCATGTCACCGTCGAGGGAGTCATCGGTACGAGGGAGCTGGGCTACGGCTTGGCTACCCTCCGCCTGCCCGTCACGGTTTTCCGCCACCTTCCCCTGAGTCCGGCAAGACTCGGCGGGTGCCTCGTACTGCAGGAAGAAACGGCCGCGAGTGAGCGCGTTCACTGCGCCTTCGCCGCCGCGGACAACGATCACACCCGTTTCACCTCTGAAGATGCCGTCGCCCGGCGGCGCGCCAGACGCAGGCCGGTGATGCTTGAATGTGAGCCTGCCCGAACCGAGGACGAAGCACGCACAGCCGTTGGCGAACATGCCGAGGAGGATGTTGGAGAAGCTCCACCAGTCCGCTACCAACGCACAGCCCACACAAGCGCCAATGCTCGCGCCGATGGGGACGAAGGCAAGCAGGGCGGAATGGTTGTAGGGGAGTTCAGGTTGGACCGTATCAGGAGGCTCATAGGGCAGGTCGATGATAGTGACGGTAGCAGGGGTAGTGATCCGCTCCTTTCCCCTGTTCTTGTACACGGACTCGTACGGAGCGCGGCGCGCCATGCGCGCGAGGAGCGCCGCGAGGTGACCCGTCTTCTCGAATCGCGAGCCAGAGCGTGCAGCGAGGAAGCGGGGCCCGACCTTGCCGTCAAGCCCGAAGAGCTGAGAGGGATCGTCCGTACCTCCGGGGAAGAGCCCTTTGCACACGCGCGCGTTCGCGAGCTGCCCGTACCGCTTTGCGATCTCGAGACTACCGGGTGTGTTATAAAGGCCTCCCCACCGCCGGCCGCGGAAGAGGTTTACGGTGGCCATACCGTGAACGGCGGTGTCTCCACCGAAGAAACCTGCGACGCCCGAAGAATCGAGCGTGAAGTTGGCGTTGAGAAGAGGATCGGTGACAACCGCGCCGGGCTGACTGCGAGAGTGCTCTACGGGGGGCATAATCGCCGCAGATGAGGGGGGTCTTGAGGACGACTCAGCACTGAGGAGAGCCGATGGTGTGTGGACCTGTGGAGGATGAGCGCAGTGGCGAGTTTCGGGTCTTCCGCCGGTTACAGTCAAGGGCCTTTATGCGGCCGTTTGCACTTCCTTGTTCTCAGGGCCATATCGGCTGGGAAGTTTCCTTGCATGCCTTATACAAGTGCGGAAATTCGCAGATCGCGATTTTGTACACGCAGAGTGCTTGCCAACGCCATACCTTCATGCACTCGCCTCAAAGACAAACTACTTGGGTCGAGTGTGGGTTTATACAAGGCGTATGAGGATGTATAGCTGGGATTCAACGCTTGCGCCTCCTGAAGACGTAGAGCTCTTGTTCGGACACACTAGTCGGCGTACAACCTGTCGGATTTGGAATGTTGAGTACATGCTCTGAGCACGTGGACCTGCACCACATTGCGTTCGTCAGCCCGCTCCAGGGTTTGGGGCAAATGAGGATGGATGAGACGCGGAGGTTTCCAACTCCAGGAGCTTGGCCTCGGAGGTAGACGCTTCTGAGACCACAAGCATTTGCACCGCGAGGCGCAAGTGCAGGTGAGGACATGCTGGCGGTGAGCGGTGTTTCTCGACCTCCGCATCCATTGTGGGCACCCTGTGTGACGACTACCATACCCTCGTAGCTTCTGCAGGTCATCTGTCTGTGGGTGTATGATCGATGTCCTACGCTCATAGCGCCAACATAGCCAACGTGACGTCGTCCGAGTCGAAGATAAGAAACGCAGTCTACAACTTTTCCTGCTCATAGGACAGCTTTCAGCGTCCATGGGCGTGGCTATGCGGATGTTGTCACAACTTTACCGCAAGGACATGCTATGACCTTTGTCCTCTGATGGCATGTATGTTGGATCCATAGACGCACCTGCATTCGGTCCAAAACCTTCCCATGCATCGCCAACTCCACCTGGCAGCAACATGAAACGTCGCATGCCTGGGCAATCACTTTATATCACCGATTCGTCCGCACTGCGCAAACGTGGTGAGGTCGAATGTAGTTTGCACATCGCGGTCTTTGATGAGTGAAGCTTATAGACGGGCGCGTTGGCGGTGACCTCGGTGGAGTTCAAGATGTGACATCGCCTTAGAGACGAATGGGACAGGATCTCGAAGATTGTCGTAGCAAGTCAAGTTCTGAAGATTTCGTTGGGCGCCTCAGGGCTTCAGCGTCGGTTACTAATATGGGTGAGCGGCAACCGCCAGGTGGACTTGCGTTGTTCGTTCGCTGGCAGCACTGTTGTGTCTTCGATCCATTCCAAAACCTACTCTTGTCTCGGCTCATATATCCTAAGAACTCTGCTTGCATGCACTGGATTTGACTGCGCTCTGGGCTGTGGCACCAGCTGCACTCTGCGATGACAGAGGCTGCTCCAAGTTTGGTGGCTAGCTGGGCGGTCCATCATACTCTGCAAGGCACTACTAATATGGACGTCGCTACCTCCACAACCAGCTCGCACACATTATGAGTGATCATCGGCGCGTTACACGTGTATTTGGCGTCCATTAGTGCGCTTACTTGGCCAAAAGTCCCTGCAGATACATGAGTTGTCGTGATGTGGTACAAGTTCATGGCTACGGGTCATGACATATCGTAGTGAGTGCATCACAGCAACGGCATTGATAGTGTAAAGTTGGCTGGGATCTTCAGGAAGCAGAGATGTCGGCCCACACGCGGCCTGCCACCATAGCGTCCTTCAACAGCAACCGAAGCAATCGCCTATCCTTCTCGCCGAGGTAATCAAGATCCCAACTCGCTCTCGTGAACTCGAGCGGTTTCCCAACGGAGACCTTCGCTTCCACTGCCCTCTTCCACGCCTCCCACACGTCCGTGTCGTTCGGGATCAGTACGTCGAGAATCTTGCGCGGATGTAGGATAGCGCTGTCTGGATGGGCTGTCTGAAGGGAGAGGTAGGTGAACACTGCTGTCGCAGTCCAGGAATTGAGTTCGTATTTCTTGACATGATCTCCCTTGTCCAGCTCGAATATGGTCCGCAGGATCGTTGTCTGTATGTCTTCCCGATCCAGCGATGAGAGATACGAGTTGTAGGCCCAGGACGCTGCGAGGGTAGCGACGAACATTAGCTGCCCGAAGAGCTGGCCCTGCGGGATGAGAAGGAGCTGCGCCAAGAACTGGACGGTGAGAAGGAAGGAAGCGAAGCCGGCGAACTTCTTCGTGGGATGGAGGAGCATGTACAAAGGTTTACGGAGGTACTGCCACCACGAGGTATCCGTAGGAGCAGCCCAAGTCTTCTTCTTGGGATGCTTCGTCGTGTAGCTCGGGAGGTCGTTGACTTCGTGAGCGGCATAGCTGACCTTGTGCAAATAGTCCGCTCTCTCTCTCTTGCCCTCCCCTGGGTTGCGTTCTTCCTCTCGATTGTCCGCCAGCCTGATCGCCGGCGACCCTTCTCCTCCATCCAGCAACGTCTCGAACTCCTTATCTCGGGCTTCGAATCGATCTCTGTGAGGTCCACGAACGGGCTCATCCTGCCAATCTTCGTCTCGTGGTTCTCGGTACTGCAGAAAGAAGCGACCCTGGGTGAAGGAGTTGACCGCTCCCTCCGTTCCTCGAAGCACCACAATGTTCCTTCCATCGAGGAGGAAGCCATCCCCCGGAGGCGCCTCCGCGGCAGGCACAGGGTGCTTGAACGTCAGCTTCCCCGACCCAATGACGAAGCATGCCCAGCCATTCGCAACGATCCCCGTCAGGATGGCGGCGAAGGTGTACCAATCCCCTGCGAGAGCACAGACGACGCAGCAACCCCAGCTGACGGCAATCGGGATCATCGAGAAGACCACCGAGCCGTTTAGGCGCGAAGACAGAGGACATTCAACGACCTGGGGCGGGTCCCATGGTAGGTCGATGATCGTGACGGTGGCGGGGTTCGTGTGCCTCCCGGCAGCGGTATGAGTGCTCTCCGTGTCGCGCGCCATGCGAGTGATCAGGTGTGCGAGGTGTCCAGTGGACGCGAAGCTCGAACCGGAGCGTATGGCGACGAATCTCGGCCCGATCTGGCCGTCGAGCCCGAAGAGTTCCGCGGGGTCGTGCTTTCCTCCTGGGAAGAGGCCGTCCCAGAAACGCGATCGGGCGAGCTGCCCGTACTGCTTCGCAATCTCGTACGAACCCGGCGTGTTGTACCACCCTCCCCAGCGGCGGTTTGGGATGAGGTTGACGGTAGCCATCCCCGAAACAGCGCTGTCGCCCCCGAAGAAACCAGCGACGCCGGAAGAGTCGAGTGTGAATTTCGCATTGACGAGGGGCTCTTGAATGATGTCTTTGGAACGGGGTACAAGTTCGACGAGGCGCGGGACGATGGGCATGTCGATGGAACGCTATGGTCGGCGACGAAGGAAGGCTGGCTTTGCAAGCAGGCTTCAAGATACTGATTCGGTGACGGCGTTTATGTATTCAAATATACCGGATCCTGTCTCGGTATGTGTTGAATCCAATTTCTGACACCGTACCTTCACAGACCCTTGCTGCCTCTGATGCGCGCGAAAGTCCTCGCCACATCCCGCCTCCACAATAGAGTCATAGGCACTCGAGTCGGGTCATTTTAGACACGTGGTAGTTCTGTGGGAGTACGTACAACACATGCTGCGAGCGGAACGCCGAGCGTCCTTGTTCCTTTTTGTCCTGGCATACACTGCCCTTGCCATGAGTCTCGAACATATGTATACTGCTAGTATCGAGGCTGTACGCAGGTATTCAAATTCAAAGGCAGCTCCCTACCGATACATTTGCATTGGACAACGTCACGCAGTGCCCCCTGGGAGCGCATCGAACTGCCAAGGTCCGACGTCCAGCATCGGCTAAGAAGTTGCTTGTTTGGCACATCCATCATCAATCAAACCACCCGCAGTCGGCGCTCAGCGGCAAAAGATGTTTCCAACGACATCCCAAGTCCTCGGACGCAGCCAATGCACTGATATGTCTCCTTCGGGCGTACGAGGGGTCCCTTGTCAAGGACCATGGAATTTGCAGTCATCGCCATCGGAGGAGAGAACAGTTTCGGACGTGTAACGAAGGGTTGGAACAAGAGCTGGCCGGCGAGGCATCCCTGTGGCGCATTCCCCTTGACGAGTAGAACGCTACCCTCGCTGAGGAGGATAGTGCTGAAGGACATCTGCCCGTCAGGGTCGTGGATGAATTGGAGCGCGCTGGCCATATAGTGCAGTCGACCAATTGCCTCTCCAACAATTTCTCGGACGAGCGATTCAACGTCTCCGGGAACAGGCTCGGGCTGAAACTGGTAGTCGCCGGGACTCTCCAGGACGTAGGCAAGAACGATACGTGCCTGCAAGGAGACTTCGGCTGAGGTGCTATCGGAGTGCGCGAAGGCTGCTAGCATCGTCATAACGTCGCGAAGGCGGAATCGTTCAGCCGACCACGTCCAAGACTCGTTGGTGGGGAACTCCTGGCAGAACTCCAAAGACCTCCCGTCGACAGCAGCACTGAGGCCGGCACCATCGCGCACCACCTTCCAGTGGTGTTCTCGTATGATCTCCACGAGAATGCCTCGTATATGGAGGGAACCGCCGTCGATAGCGACGTCAGGGTCCCGCGCGACTTCGTAGTCCTTCTGGAACCAATTATCCGAGCACTTATCTCCGTGAATAGGCACTCCCGCCCATCCAAAGCCAAGCAAGCCATGAAGTGGGTTATCCGAGCCATGGTTTGTGGTGAGGAGCGAATACTCGCCGCGCGCAATCGCCATGACATTGACCATCTTCAGCACGTTCAATTGCACGACGCGTGCTAAAGATCCTGGCAGTGAGTGCCCACGTGCAGGAAGAGCAGTAGGACGGGCCTTGAATTGGTAGACGTGGCGCAGTAGGTTGCAGACGAGTGATAACTTGTCGTATCCGTCGCTGCATTCAAGTGGGTGAACGATGCGTAGTGCCCATGAAGTATTTTTCGACACCGCACGATCCTGAACACTCCCTCGGCTCAGACTGAAGAGAGGAATGGAACTGTCGCGCCTCCGGGCGATCTCCACGCACTGCCAGAGAATGTCTGAGTCTATGCGGTGGGCTTCACCAGGGGAAGAAGAATTGTGCAAGAAGAAGACAGCCCGTCGGCTCAGAAAGAGCTCCTGCGAGCACCATGCGCGTGTGAACCAGCGTGCGGCAATAATGCGGCGGACCATGGTTGCTATCTGGTCAGTTGCCTTGTTGCTGAGTAGAATCGCCATCTCTTCAGAGCTAAGAGCGACATCCTCGAGCATGATCAGCGTGGTATCTGATCGTGCGTAAATGAGTTGGAGAATCGCCACTTGTGCCATCTTCTCGTCTGTGTCGTCCTGATTGATGCAGTGATAGTCAATCCAGACATCGCGGGAGGACCCAGCGTTGTACGCCTGGCAGTTACGAGCGATGAATTGAGAGAAGTGGTTGGACGTGACAGGACCGCCGGGTGTATGTACCACAGTAGAAGTGCGGCTCGATCCCATGCGCTCGAATGTGTCCGCTCCCGGCCAAGGGTAGCTTACAGCCACGAATGGCTGCCCAGTGTACGCCACCAGTTCGTACGTGGCGTTGTCGTGTCGCAATGCGAGGACGCGTAGTGGCTTGTCGTTCAAGCTGCCTTCGCCACGCTCCCCTTCGCAGGCCTGATATGCGTCAGATGAGCGTCCTAGGCTACCGTACCAGAAGGCATCACGTACTAGAAGGGTATCGTGAATAGAGAATGGTTGCAATGGCGAAGCAGTGAACGACATGCTCCTGAGGGTCGCGAGGGAGCAACCTCGGAGGACTAGCAGGGTTCTTGAACGCCTTGTACTAGTATAGGCGACGTCGAGAGACAGCTGGCAGGGGTCACCCGCTTATCTGTCACTCGTCAACTTTGTTCAGCAAGTGTGGCATAACCTTAACTCAATCGAACAGAGCCAAACCTTATGTCACCGATGGTAGCGAACCGAGCAGCCTCGCCCCTCCTCAGCCGGAACGACGTATGTAAATGAGTCGCATCCTCCTCAGAATCGCGACAAGTTCCTTCCCCAGGCGGTGATACCCTCAGGGTCTCTGTCGTTATAACTGGCAACGCTGTTTCGAAGACGAGATCTACTGCAAAGACCGCCATCATGCATTCGTAATACGGCTTGACATTGTAGACCATGATCATTGCAAATGGTGAAAGCGAGAATATATGAGCTCATATTAGCTGAATATTCGTGCATGGACATCTTAGGTAGCGCACCTGACGTATTCATTCGGCCGGTAAGCTTGATCGCTGCCATTGTGACCTTGACGGTCTATTCGAATGACTAGCTGATGAACCCACTTGTGCACCTTATGCCGTCTAAAATTGAGGAGAATTGACGAATGCTGGCAAGCATTGCACATACACATGATTTGGTGCGATCAGTAAATAACGAGGTCATGGCGTATCCCACGTATTTATAGCTGAACGATGACCTAGAGCTTCGAACCCTTTGCAGCTACTGACATAGCGCGAACCTCTCAGGATTCAAAACAATGCCCTGTGATCTCATAAGAGCAATCAGAACACCAAAGGACAAACACATACCAGGGACGACACGAAGCTGATGGGCTGTACATGTTGCTCACGTCCGCATCCGCCACTATATGCAATGTCATGCTCAAGTCCAAGAGCAATGAATCGGTAAGCGAGCAATATCACCTCTTCAGCTAGATGTCGATTTTCCGGACAGGCGGGAGCTTCTACGAACTTTGGGAGCGGTTGCTGTCGTCGCTGGGAAGATAGTAACAGGAACACTGGCTGTGGGAGAGGTTTTCCTGGTTGTCGAGGTGGACGCAGAGGACTTCTTCTTATGCTTGGCTAAGTGCGTCTTCGACGCTCGGCGGTGCAGCGTACGGCCCATTGGGTCTAGCAGCTTCGTGGGTGATGATTGCAGCTGTCGATCCAGCTGGGGATTCAAACGTTCATATGCGGCATTGAAGCGCCGATTGGAAAGGCAGTGCGGGCGCTGGAGTCCCACGCTATCACGATATCAGAGTCTCATGCATGAACACGTGCTTAGACTCTGTCGCATTGTGGGTGCATTAGGACAGGAGGACGATGCTATGTGGCGTGGGCGTTGTGGGTGCATGAGAGCTGGAATGGGCACGTATCGCAATGCATTGAACGGACGGGAGCCGGCACTCTCCTTAAGGACACGAGGAGCCACACGAGTCGGAGATCTCCTCGAAGGGCGAAGTCTGCTGAACCTCGGCGGTGGACCGTGACTGCCTTCGAAGACCATTCAAATATACTAGCACTTCCGCCTCAAACGTGGAGACACGAGCATAATTGCAGCCCACCCTGATTGACGACGAATGCCGTGCTGGATGAGTACTCGGAGTTGTTCATCCCCAATGACACGTACCGACAGGTCAACTCTACGCCTTGATATCTGAGGATGGGCCAGGGGCCGGGAACAGGAGTCGGGTCAAGAGACCAGTATCCCCAGGGACTGGACGCCTCGCCCGTAGAAAGCAGAGGAAGTTGATGAAAGTAGAATCGAGAAGGACGCTCTACATACATCAGTTCATTCGGATGACGATCGTTCTAGAGGCCAAACGATACTCACCTTCAGCAGCGGGTTCTACGGCAGGAGCGCAATCTGAGTCATCCTTGAGCACTGCGCCTGCATAGTGAAAGATCTCCTCAACTGATCGCGCAAAGACAGTCAGGTCATGAAATTCGTGTAATTTGAACGACACATACATAGAACGATGTCATGCAACGCGATTCCATGCTTGTTTGCGATATCTTCTGCATGATTCCAGAAGAAGTCGTGGTATTCAGAGTCATCAGGTAACGTGCGGACGACAGCGATCTCTTCGAGGTAATCCTCGAACTCGTCTTCCTGCTCAAGGTTGAACACATGGCTATCGCAAGAGCAGTCAACTACTGTCAAAGATCGCCACGATTGTCGCGTAATAATGCTTACCTGACGACCTTCGTCGGCCAAGGGTAATCTTGGGCAGGTTGCCAGTTGTGTCCGAAATATCGATTCAAGAAGAAGGTCGAGATCTTCCCGGTTGGTACAACTAGGTCGTAGATGTGCCCAAGGCGCAAAAATGTCTCAACATCTCCGTGACGCTTGATATAACCAAAGTCTCCCCATTTTGCGTCGACCTCACTCCGGAATTGATGCGACGCCCATAACTTTCCCAAATCGGAGTTGATTAACTGATCCGCATCCAGCCCCTGCAAACCCTTGCCAGTGCTAGGGCGAAGCACCGATAGCAACTTAGATGCTTGTGAAACAAGATCATCATCGTAGGCGTAGTCTGCACATTGAAATGGACTCAGAGTTGGTTCTTCGACATGGTCAGAAGGCTTACCCTCTCCCGGCGATACCGTCCCGTTCTCCTGGAGGACGAGATCAGGACGATCAACCTGTCACGTATAGTATGAATCACCAGGTACCTCATCACATAATGTACGAAGACAGGATTGGAAACATCCGAGGTTAGAGTCGCAAAAATCGGAGACATCGATGGTGAGTCGACCTTCCTCATTGAGCATTGCAGACGGAAGACATCGGTGATGGCTATGGCACTGGGAACAAAATGCGTTACTATTTGTGAGTGTTACGGAAAGCCGAGGGTGTACGTACGTCACTAACGGGGAAACCCAGATTCTCCAGGTAATGAAACGCATCCTGACAGAGCCTCAAATCTGTACAAGGTCAAGGAGCTGGATGTGGATGAACATACCTGATAGTCCACGATCTAAACAATGGTTTAGTGGTCAGCCGGACTTTACAGCGACTCGACATACATGCTGCAGCCATAACCGTATATGGCTCAACGAGTCTTCGCCGCGGAACTGATGCATAAGGGTAACGGTTCCTGCTCACCGTCAGTTATATTCAGCGAGCGTCATTGTATCTTAATTGAAGGCATACCAGACTCCATGACATAGAGTTTCTCGGGAACGGACGGATGAGAATACCCAAGGACCTGGGACACATAAGGGTGATGCCTTAAGAAAAAGTGCATTGAGTGATCAGATAACCAGACGGGTGGGAAACAACCCACAAGTTCGGATAGTATGTAACAATGGAGCTGTAGTTCATCTGCTACAACGGCATACTTGAGTACGCTGGAGACTCACAACGTTTCTCATACCTGAGGGCTTTGTGCGGAATCCTTGATTGTGCGCACGACCACTGCACGTCCGTCCCACTTGCCTTCCCATTCTTCGCCGACCTCATGTCGACCGACGTGATATGTACCACGCACCTTTGTACGTCGGAGATCGCTCCAGCGAAACAATCGGAGCTGCGTGTTTCATTCATCAGACTGAGCGTCTCCGCTGCCTGAGGTAAACTGACCTGAGAGCGGTCGTCGTACAGCGCTTGCCTTTCCATCTTCATGCGAAGAGCTATGAGACACGCGGTCTACACTTCCGTTGAATGCGATGGAATCAATGTCAACGGGATGCTGTGGCTCACATCGAATGCCCGCCACGCGCTGTCAAGGGCATCTAAATGATCCTCCAAGGTTGAGGAAATGGATGCCTGATGTAGCAAGCGACTGAGCGCACTGCGCCGAAGTTGCTTCTCAACTTCACTCCGGATACGGTCCATTAGTCTTGGTGGAAAAAGAGTCAGCGAAGCGCAACTACACAATAGACATCAAGAGGGAACTAACGCTTGCAGCTCAATTAAAGTTACCGTGAGGCCATCGTCGATGGCATTAAAATCGCAATCTATCGACTCCTCTATATGCATAGAAAGCTCCGAGACACGGCGGGCAAGGCGGAGGAACCGCTCCCTGTCGGTTCCGATAGCCTACCAAAGGCTATCATTAGCAACAAAGTAAGAAGGGACTAAGATCAGCGCACTTCTATTGTCCTGGCGAGTCCCAGAGCCGAGCTGACTATGCCATTCAGTAGTGGCACATTAGCAACAACATTTGACGCGGCTTGCAGCACCTCCAGTCCGCTGATTAGGGCGGACAGGACATCTCCTGAGACCGACCGACGAACAGAGCGAGAAGACATCGCAGAGGTCGTTTTCTCCTACATATTCACGGGCTTGAGAATGTGCATGTGTATAGTTGACCCCCGCTCTCACCTACAGGAGTAATGGAAGGAGGTCAGTAAATGCGCGACGGTATTAGCTTGGAGCGGGGATTTTATGTTCACCTCGCGAGGCTGTGCGCAATTGAAATGCACGAGGCACTCTGGCGCTAGACGAACACAGCAAGATCCCCATCCAGAACGCCATCGCGATGATTTTTGCCAGCACAGGCAATCAATACATGGGCGAGAGTTTCCTCACAAGTCATGGTCATGGTCATCGATAAGAGAGAAACTAGCGTACGATCCCTCACGCTGGAAAGTGAAAGAATAAATCAGGCGACCCCAGCAGTGCTATCCAGATCAAGCTCCACGTGTGTACATTGTAGACAGCATGGCACCTTGCTCACGTCTGTGCGGGGGCCGTCTCGACCAACTCTGGAAGCGCAGAGTCAGCAGAGATGTCGGACACCTGCTGCTGCCACATGCTGTAATACAGCCCTCCAGCACGCATGAGCTCCTCATGCGTGCCCTGCTCGACAACCTGACCGTCCTTGAGCACAATGATGAGGTCTGCGAGCGACGAGTCAGCGGGAGGGGAGGGGGGGCATATGACCGAATAGGCTAGAGTACGTACCAGCCTCGACGACTGTACGGAGACGGTGCGCGATAAAGATACTCGTGCGCGCCTTCTCCTGGAGAAGATTATTGACGTTGCGCATGAGCTCCGTCTCCGTATGCGCATCCAGAGCCGATGTCTAAAGGGATCGTCAGCGTCCCTAGCGCGCACATCGAGCGACAGAGGCTTACCGCTTCGTCAAAGAACAGAATAGGGGGATCCTTGAGCAGCACTCGGGCCACAGCTAGCCGCTGCTTCTCGCCACCCGAAAGCATCAATCCCCGCTCTCCGACTTTCGTCTGGTACTTTTCTGGTAGCCTCAAGATCGCATCATGCACATGTGCCTTCCTGGCCACTTCAACGACCTCCTCGTCTGTTGCGTCCAGCCGCCCATATCTGATGTTGTGCAGCACATCCGAATGGAACAGCGGCGTGTCCTGGGGCACGACCCCGATCGCGCTCCTTAGCGACTTCAACTGCAGCTCGCGGATTTCCTGTCCATCGACAAGGATCCGCCCACTCGAGGGCTCGTAGAACCTGAAAAGAAGGCGGAACACCGTCGACTTGCCACACCCGGACGGGCCGACGAGGGCGACCTTCTTCCCTGCGGGGATCGTGAACGAGAGGTCGCGGAAGATGGGGCGGTCGGGATGGTAGCCAAAGTTGACGTGCTCGAATGTGATGGCGCCGCCGCGGAGGTCGAGCGGGCGCGCGTTGGGCGCGTCCTTGGGGGGCTGGTTCTGGGTGGTGAGGTTGAAGAGGACTTCCATGTCGAGGAGGCTCTGGCGCATCTCACGGTAGATGGTGCCGAGGAAGTTGAGTGGGAGGGAGAGCTGGAAAACAAGTTGGTTGACCATGACGAGGTCGCCGACGGTCATTGTGCCTAGTCGATGTTGTCGATGTTGTTAGAGTGCGCAGATTGCTGGCTGCAAGACATGTACGGACCGTTGATCACGCCTTGAGCGGCGAGGAACATCATCCCAGTTAGGGCAGATGAGAAGATGATGTTCTGTCCGGAGTTCAAGTACGCGAGCGAGGTCGCGATCTTGATTGACGCCTTCTCGTATGCGGCCAGATGCTTGTCGTACTTCCCAATCTCGTGAGACTCGTTGTTGAAGTGCTAACGCAAGCGCAATCAGCAGAGATATAACTTTTCGGGTGTGGGATTACCGACTTTGACGGCCTCATAATTGATGAGAGAGTCGACTGCCACAGTGGCCGCTCTGTTATCCGCGGCATTCGCCTCTCTCCGGAAGCGTGTTCTGAAGGAAAAGGCGGAGGTCAATGGGCAGATTTGAAGATCTCGTAAGATATAAGCAAACCTCCAGGACGTCGTGCGGACGGTGAACCAAGTATATGCAGCCATAGTCAGGGCAGTGATCGCGGCATAGTTCCAACCAAAGTTGTACGTCTTCTCGCATGTAAATGTGGGCTCAGTAGAAATCCAGGAGAGTCACCCACCAATATGCCGCAGACCAAAGAGATTTCTAAAGCAGTCGGTACAATCCGGAATAATACGGCTTGTAGAATAAATGTGATCCCTCTGTGCATGCGTTAGCCTCGCGCTGTCCGAGATTATGACTACATGCACACACTTTGTACCGCGGTCTATCGCACGCGTCAAGCCTCCCGTGTGTCGGGCCAGGTGAAATTTGAGGTCGAGATGTAGGAGATGTTCGAATGTCTCGCGCGCGACCTTGCGGACGGCATGCTGGCCGACGCTGGCGAATGTCGCATTCAGCAATTCGCCAAACAGCGTCGCGCCAATACGTGCAGCTCCATCTTGTTTCAAGTGTCGTCAGCTTGGAGTATGGGAAATCTGGATTTGATGGATGCATGAACGTACATCCCAGAATGAGTGAACCGGCCACTACCCATACTGTTGACGTCGACGCAAGGTCCACGTTCAACGAATCGATTACTTGTTTGAACAGAAGCGGTACTTGGACATTCAACAGCTGCATGGAGGATGCTCCGTTGACATATATGGACCGTCCAATTGTATGATACCACACACCTTGCCTGATACAAGCAATCCGAGCCCAAGCACGACACGCCCACGCGTCTTCCAGTCATCTTTCGGCCACAGGTTCTCCGCCAACTTCCTCACGATGTTCCAGTCGCGTTTTCGCTGCTCCGCCTGCGATATGTGTATCGCATCCCCGCCAAGGTCTTGGTTCGCCTGATTCTTCTGGGATGTTGGAGGTTGTACGAGATTTGCAGGTTGCGCGGACTGCGAGGCAGGTGGATCGGCCTTCTGAGGTTGTTGCGCAAGGTGTTGGAATAGCCGTGTGGGATTCCGCAACGTCGAAGAGTGGGGAGGTCTATGCTGGGAGAGGTAGGAAGGAAGAGAAGCTCGCGAGACCGCTCGTGTGCCGAAGCTCCGGGAGAAACCAGATGAGGTCGCGGCCTTGAGCGGACCAGCTAAACACTGGCGGCATACAAACGGCGTCATCTAGATGAGCAGTCGATGGCGACCATTCAGCACCGTGGGTGAGGGGTAGTGAGGCTAAAGGGAGAACATGAGCCCATATAAGTACGGTGCGCGTACGCAGCGCACTGTGCTGCTGCTGATCAGACTGGCGTGCTCTCGCGCCAGGCGGCACTCCAGTCATCTTATCTGATACGAGCAACTCCATCCCAACGGCAACCTATCATCGCAGAGCCATGGTCTTGGAGGGTCTTGGACGAATCAGAGCCAGCGCATCATTCTGCCGTAGGCCAAACACCTTGTACGAACACCTCACTACATCACGGGGTATTGCTATAAGCCTGTGATAGATCTCCGGGCGGTTCACCGTGCTCCAGGGTGATTCACGTCCAAGGGAAGGGTATAGCAGAACCATCCATGAAACACAATCCTTGACTTCATGTTCAACATCGGATCCAACTCCTTCATTCGATACGACCCCTTAGCCAGCTCAACAAGCCCTTCGTACCCTCCCTCTCCCACACCCTTCTCGGTGGTATGCGGAATCTGAAAACCCACATCAGTAACCCCCCAACAACAGAAGGAAGACAAGAGAGCACTTACGTATTCCCATCCACTAAAAACACATCCAACGGCAGCAACCCAAGCTCCGCCGGCAACTTCCCGACCTCGTTGTCCCTCAAGTCCAGTTCCTCCAGCCTCCATTCCGGCACGTCCCTGTTCCCCCTGAACCGCTCTGCGATCGCCCGGAACCCATCTAGCTCATTGAGGCGATTGCCTCGTAGGCGGAGCTGCCTCAGGCCCTTGCGCACGGACGGGGGCACAACTTCATCTTCAGAAGTGAGCTGAGGCGTCGGGTCGGCAAAGATGAGCTGGGTAAGAGCTGCGGGGGTGAGGCACGCGGACGTGAGGGCGTTGTATGACAGGTCGAGGGTCTTGAGGCTCGGGAAGAGCCGCGCGATGAGCGGGATGATGGGCTCGCTCGTGCGCTTGTCTGCCGGTGAGGACGCGGAGTCGTTCGCGTGAGTGTACGAGACAGCGACGGTGTCGGCCAGGTTGCAGTTCTCGAGCGAAAGCTCTTCAAGATAGGGCAGCGCAAGGGCGACGTCGGCGGGGATGCTGAAAGAGGGGTCCGCGCGCCGCTTGGAGAGGATGAGGACCTTGAGATTGTGTGCGAGCGGCTGCGCGGAGATGGCGGCTAGGGGAAGGGTCGGGGCGGGTATCGCTAATGCAAGCTCGGAGACGGGAGAGGCCGGTCCGCGTTTCAGTGCTGGCGAGGCGAGAGAGAAGGAGCGCGAGTGGGCCGCCTTTAGGGGAGCTGCGGAGGGCGGGAGGGTCAGCGTTCGGGCCAATTTGTCGTAGTATTGGGGATTGGCTAACGCCGACGCTACAGTCGCTGGAGACTGTTGTGCAGAGGGCGAGGGCGTGCGTGGGGTTCGGGGAAGAGCAGACTGCTGGGAAGACTCGGGTTTGGTAGACAGAGCAGCGGCCTGAGCTATTGCAGCAGCGCGGGCACGCCGTCGCGCCCCTGCGCTAAGCAGACCTTGCTCAGCCTCGATCTCCCATGGCTCCTTCTCTGCGACCTTCGGTGTTGCGTTGGGCTTCTGTGGGGACGAGGGCGTTGACTTCGTCGACGACGTGGATGACGATGCCGCTGCGGCGATAGCCTGAGCTCGGACCCGTCGTTTGGCTCCCTCCGTGAGCAAGCCTTGCTCGGCCTCGATCTCCCAAGGTTCCTTGGCAACTTCGCGCTTTGGCTCTTGCTGGCTCGAGTTGGCGTCGTTGGGCAGCGCTACATGTGCCCGACGGAGCTTTGCCCTGCGCTCCGCCTCGATCTCCCAAGCCTCCTTGACGACCCGCTTACCAACGATGATGCGAAGGACACCGTCTGGAGGCTCCTGGCTCGTGACATCGAACTGCACCGTTTGTCTGATTGCGTTGGGCGTGAAGACGGACTCGACAGCTGGTCGCGTGACGTGCGTCTCCTCAAGGTCCAGGACCTTGAGCGAAGGAAAGAGGTTCCCGGAGGCAGAGGAAAACAGGGAGGTGGGGAAGCTGTCGTCGCCAACGTCTGCTCGCAGCATATGGAGTTCCTTTAGCCTCTCCAGACGGCCAAGGGCACGCAGGAGTGCGTCGCTCTTGCCTAAAGGGTTCTCGGACAGCCAGACCTTAGATAGCAGCGCAGGAATCCGATGGTCAATTGCAGAGGCAGGAAGAGGATTGTGAGAGACATCGAGAGAGACAAGGCGGGGTAATGGTTCGCTTGCCCGCGTGATAGTTTGCGAGAACCAGTCTCCTCGAGCGTCCTTCGTGCGATCGACGGTTTTGGAGCCGTTCAAGAACGGCTCATTGAATGGCAGGGAAGCGATGAAATTGTGGGAAAGGTTGAGAGTGGCTAGGTGTGGCAAGGCCCAAAAGTTGGTGGGCAAAGCCGTTAGCTGGTTGTGGGATAAGTCGACGTGTGTGAGGGACATCAAGTCTGCGAACGAGTCGGGCAGGAAGGTTAATTTATTGTTGTGTAACTGCGGCAGTTAGTCCGACTGCCGATACGGTGAATGTAGATAGAGGAACGTACATCGACCGTCTTGAGCGAGCCAAACATGGAGATCTCGGGCTGTATCTCTACAATCTCGTTGGACCATGCCTTGAGTATCTCAAGGTCTTGTGCGTCATACCACGAGGGTGCATCCGCCTTGCGGGTTGAGGCTCCGGATGTGGACGTACTGATTGGAGGTTCAACCGGGACAGACTTTAGTGGCTCTGGTTTTATACCCAAGTGGATCTCGAATAGTGCCGAGGGCAGGCATGGAAGATCGCGAGACGAGAGATTGATTGCGCCTTGTAAGAATATCCTTGAACGATGAATACTTCAAGCCCGCTACGGAAGACCATATTGGCGCAGCAGGCATGTCAAGCATATTCGTGGGAGACAACCTACAAAACATTGCATGACCACACTGTTTGATCCAATCCCCTCAGGCAACTATTTTCTGACCACGCTCGTGGGTAGCCAGACAGCCAAAATTTCGAAACTCGTATTGTGTTGCTTGACATGCCCGCTCGACCAGGAAACGATGAACTTACCGCTGCTACGCCCACGCTCAATTGTCTCTTTGATAGACCATCGCCCAAGGTCAACATCCTGCGCCACAGGCTGATTGTACGTATGCGGGGAAGCGTCCTCCAAGCTCTCAAACTCTGCCTTCACGGGCGACTTGGCAATCTTCTTCGCCTCTGCGCGTTTCAATGCGATTTGCTCGCGGATGCTAAGCTGCGTCCTCGGCGATGGGGGAACATCCTCTTCGGCTGGGAGAGGATGTGGCTTCTTCGCAGGTGATTTCGTGGGCGACCTGGACTTCAGGCTCTTCAGACTAGGCTGTGTTCGGAGCGTCGGAGACGGGGCAGCTACGGGAGTCTTCGCGCGAGGCTTTGCGAGGGGAGTAACGGGCGAGCGTGGGACTGGGGTGGAAGGATTGCTCTGGAGGCGTGATCGCACGCCTCCAGGCCTAGACAAGGATGGCTGTGGGAGACGGGACATTCAGACGACGATGGCGCAAGGGGCCGCAGGGGAATACAACGATGAAACCGAGGCTCGGGACTGAGTACGAAGTACTGAAGGTTGGCGTACGGGTGATGCTGAAACGGTGTAGGCGCCCATAGAACGCGTTCGGCGCGTGCCGTCCTGACCCCGGTAAGCGCGTCCCGGGGCACCGACTCCTCCACGTGGCTCAGAGAGCGCCCACGCTCGTCCGAAAATCTAGCAACGCTGAGAGACCGCACGCGTATCGCTCCCGCTAGGACTTCAAGACAAATCGCAAGGCCCTGCCGCCGCTTCACGCCAATGTAAGTGTTCGCGCTCGTTTTTATGACCTGTCTGGACGGTATGAGATGGGTTTGGGCGCGGTTTGAGGGGTTCATGAGGTTGGATTGCCGATTGAAGGATCGGATGACGGGACTGGGATGGTAGAACGAGGTGCTGACGATTGGCTCTCCAGCCGGAGAAAGTGCGACAACAGCTTCGCAGTGAGTCCCTTGCATAGGCTGTGCGTACGGTGTCTGACGAGAGTATACGTCTTGTCCAGCTTCCGACCCAAACACCTTAGTTTGCCCAGCATGATCATTTCGAAGTCTCACAGGCGCATCATCTACGAGTCCCTCTTTAAGGGTCTGTACCATCTCCTCCCATGATCATCCCTCATCCCTGACGATGGATGTCTTGCCGAACAATAGAGGGCGTGTTGGTCGCCAAGAAGGACTACAACGCCCCCAAGCACGAGGAACTTGATGTGCCTAACCTCGAAGTCATCAAGGCCCTGCAGAGCCTTACTTCCAAAGGTCTCGTGAAGACGCAGTTCTCTTGGCAGTGGTACTACTACGTCCTCACTCCCGAGGGCGTTGACTACCTTCGCGAGTGGTACGCCTTCCCATCCCTTATCTGTGTGGTGCCTGTGTCTCTCCAGTGGTTAACCTACAAGGGCCCTTTGTAGGTTGAACCTCCCGAGCGAGATCGTTCCTTCAACGCACAAAAAGGCCGTTCGCCCGCCTCGCCCGGCGCAGGTGCGTGGCCCCGGCGGCGAGGGCGCCTACCGCCCTCCCCGCGGCGATCGCGAGGACTACAGGAAGAAGGAGGGTGGTGCGCCTGGCGAGTTCCGGCCACAGTTTGCTGGTGTCGGCCGCGGTGCACCCCGGGAGTAGACGACCATCCACGACGTTCACGAGAAGTAGAACCCGCCGTCGGACTCTCATGCATCTCCTATATCGGTTCGCACTCGCATGAGGGCGCATGCGTCGGTTGGCATGTCGTGACCGTATGGCGCTGGGGATGGCGGAACAGGGCTGCTGCTTTGACTATGTAGGAGAGGTGTTACGATATTGCTGCCATCCGTCGCAAAATTGTAGTATGAGCACTCCATGCCTTCGCTTATACTATGTTTACGCTTTCGTATTCTCCCGCTCTATGGCACATGATGCTGTGGTGAATGCCCCGAAGTCAATGTAGGAAGGGTGACCGTCTGTTTAGTTGTGCACGAAGGGTTGTCAAGAGGACCTGAATATCATCAGTTCATGACTTAGGTTGGCTTTAGCGCCGGAGCGTGGAAGACGTCACTGCACGAGGTAACCGCCGGCCAGGTCCTTCACTTCATTCCATCCGAAGCCAGCGACAACCTCTTCCTCCTCTTGACCACCAAAAAGCCTCTGAGCTGACGACACAAGGCGTGCCTCCTGCATCGCATCTCTACAACCAGGAAGAGGTTACCGACCTAGGTGTCGACCCAGGTACATCCACATTCACGACTGTGGCGCGGCGCCTACATACGGAAACACCGGTGGAATCGAAGCTTGGTTCTGTCATACTGTAACTCGTAGTGGACGCAGAAGCCTCATTGGGCTGTGTTTCTCAAAGGTCTTTCAAGGCAAACGTGAGTGACACTTAATTATACGTGCAAGCCAACATATCTTGAGGAATCCGACGCACACAGCCTCAGGACGCCCCGGCTGCGCCTTACATCCGCTACACAGATCTTCGTACAGCCGCAATGCCTGGGAGCAGTCCACCTCCGATGACCAATCGATCTCAGGCTGCACCTCCAAATCGACGTACTTCCTTGAACCGAAATGACGATAGCCCCTATCCACGCACTGCGCGGGCGGTCCAGCCTAATCCGCTGCAACCACAACATCCAGACGCGCCACATCGGCTGCCCTTCAGCTGGTCCTCCTCACTTCTGACAATGCTCACTGTGATCGGCTGCTTTGTCGTCCTCTGCTCGTACGCCTCCTCCGCGAGCACGCTGTTCGCCCTGTACGCCGCGCAGCCCGTCTACGCGCTGTACCCCACGCTCGTCGCCGCGATGCTCGTTGGGGGGTGTTCCGCCCTCATCTGCTACTTCCCCACCATGCTTGCCGTATTCACCTTCCAGCTCCTGTTCGACACCGACATCCGCAAGACTCACACGCCCCCACCCGGCTCAGCACTGGCCCACGCACAGGCTCCTGCCGCGAGGGAGATGGGCTGGTCGTTGATCCGCGACGGGGCCACCACGATCAAGCTCGCGCTGCTGGTCGCTCCGGTGTATGTTATGGCCGTCGGGCGCGTGGGGAGCGCGGCGGTGGAGAGTAGGGCGCTGGACGCTGCGGCGGGCGGTCAGCTCGCGGCGGCGATTATGACGTTGAAGATCATGACAGTCGGGATGCGCGAGATATGGGACTTGGTCCCGCTGGTGATTTTCAGGTGGCATCGGGACGCGCGGAGACAATGAGATGACATTGTGGTGAGTTGGAGGAGGAGAACTACTATCGGTGAGGCTCTCGTCATGGCTGCTTGGTGTATCATGGTGTCGTGTTCGTCATTTGTGACTTGTTCTGTTCAGACTGATCTCTGCGATCGTTAGGTTCTCTGGAGGCACCTGAGGGCGTTCGCGAACTATTTAAGAGACGCAGCGTTGTGATTTGATTGCGAACATGGTGAAACGACTTGTTTCATGAGTCCCATGCAGCAAATGTGCGCGGGATACTATGCTGACGGGGCCGCAAATCAGATTGCGTGACCCCAACCCCCATCCGGATCCATGTACATCGATTTGAGCATCCCATATGCACTGTCGTATGCTCTGTGCATGAGCTTGCGTTTTGGAAAAGGGATATTGCTTTCGTTGGTAAAGCAGCCGGTAAGTGCGATATATGCGAGGCGGCTTGCCTCCGGTCAAATAGGACCAGCGGGGGTTTAGCGTGGAGCACCGGACTAGCACTGCTTGTGATGCTTTGTCGTTTCAGGTGGAGAAGCGCAGACCGTGAGCAGAACACGAACACACTTTCGCATTCACGATTAGAAAAGTTGGGGAGAAGTCTTCTTTGTCAATGAATGCGCACACAAGATGCGTATCGAGTTAGATGCGTGAGTATGAGTAGACTGACCTTCCCTGTTGCTGTGAATTGATGGCAGCAAGGCAGCGCTAGTGCACGGGCGCTAAGGTCGTTGATTCCTTACGATAATCCGGTGGGCGGGTGTTCTGTACTTACTGTGTCGACCACGACCTGACCACGATTACACAGCCCTCGGACAGATTAAGCTATACAGTACGGTAACGCATCATTTGATGCTGTTGCCAATTGGCTGTAACCGGGCCAGCCGCTCCTTGGCTGAAGGGGCGTAACCAGAGCGGGCACGCCGTCGTCGAGATCCCGCTCCACGCCATCACGCCTCCCACTAGATTGTCATGGGCCCAGCACCCTCAGCGCGTCCCCTCAGCAGCGCCTGGCGCTCGCCGTCTCGTCTTGCGTCTTTCCCCCACCTTCTCGCTCGCGTCCCCCTTCTCCTTCGTTCTTCTCCGCGCGAGACCATCGCAGCGCGCTGGCTCGTCGTCCGTTTATCTATTCATTCTCTTCTCCCGGCTGGTCTGGAGCTTGCTTGGGGCCCTACTTAGTCTCTGCCGCCAGAACGTATCTGTCTCGTCGCACATCCAGGTTGCCTTTACGTGCCGGAGTGCGTTGAAGGAAATGTCCGTCTTTGCATTGCGGGCTAGCGACCAGCCGACCCAGGTACGTCCTTTGCTTACTTAGCCGTACTGCGTCGCGTCGTTGGGCGGATAACTGCGCGGTGGTGATCGCGTCTGACAATGCTTGTGCTTGTAGGCTTCGGCGGACTTCACGGAGTTGGATATCTTCATTGCCTTCCAGGCTACTGGAGGCATTGGGTTACTCGCTGTCCTCCTGACGGCGTTATTCGCGCGGAAAATATACAGGCACTTTACATGGCTGAATTTCTGCATCACCTGGTTGATCTACTGCATCTCCTACCTGCTACTGTAAGTGTGTATAAACCGTCTCCGGGCCATATTTTCTGAGAAGGGACGTAGTGCTTTCACCGGGCAACAGACAAGGAAGGAGGCGCCTGCGTATCCCATTTGCCTCACGCAGGCTTCACTAATCTACGCGGCACCCGTTCTGTGAGTAGAATCAGCACTCTGTTACAGGCATGCTGTGGGTGCTAACGTGAATGGGCAGCGTCGCTATGTCTACCTTCGCGCTCGTGTTGCAGCTATGGTTCACCTTATCTAGCGCCCTCGCGCCTCCCGCAAAAGTTAAGTCGCGCAACTACGTCCGCAACGGCTTGGTGAGTGATAACAATCGCCAGACTTAGCTTGCCCCTCACATTGAACATTGTCTAGCTCCTAGTTGCTCCATATGTTGCGTGGCTCGGAGCTGTCATCACGATCTTGGTTGTAAGTGACATGTACTACTTCTGTGGGGACTATCCAACCTTGAGCTCCAGATTGGAACCCTGCATCCCAACACCGTCGAGCGTGCAGGTCATTTCGTTTACTGCACCATCTCATCCGGTCGGCCGTGAGTGACCTCAGCCCTGGTCTTCGTCTGCCGTCGTTCCTGAGCCAGCATTTGCAGTGGCAACATCATTGCCATCATCGTGGCGATTATTCTCCTGGTCATGGTCGTATTTGACAGTACGTCTCCTCCAAACACTTACATTTCAGCTCACCATGGACTTCGCCCGCAGTTTACATAGCGACCGTGCTATACCGGAACTGGCGTGCGCTGCGCGGGTCTGACCGACCTGGCCAGATCCCCCTCTCGCTGCTCGTCCGTGTCGCGATCTTCAGCTTCGTCTGCGTCGTCGGCATAGGCTGCGCTGGAGTCTTCCTGTCGAATGTCGCGTTCTTCGCGGGAAACGTCATCATCGCTCTTAGTGAGTCTGATCCGCGCGGACTTCTCGCCTTCTTTCCGAGTGCTAACGGGATCACTCTTCCCATGTAGTGCCACTGATTGCGTTCCTCGTCTTCGGCACCCAGAGAGTGAGTCTTCCTTCCATTTCATTTCCGCCTCCCCCTGATCTCCGCGTATCACACATCACACGGACCGATCTTCGATGGTTTGGACATTGACTGATGTCATAACCTATTTACAGGACATCCTAGATGTGTGGATGTTCTGGCGGCACTGAGACCGCCCCTCACCTCCCGCTCTTCGGCCTGCCTGACATTCGCTCCTTGCTCCCCCGTGTCCGATATTTATTCGCGTATCGCGCAACGCTCTTCCGGACTGTATTGCTCCTCTTCTTTCGCCTTTCTCTTGTATCGCGACTCGTTCCGATTCACTTGTATGTAAGACTAGCGCGCGGGCCCCGCCGACTGAGTCGGAGGGCGGGACGGAGCTCACGATAATGACATGGGACGACGAGATGTTCTTGGTGGGCGTGCGATTGTATCTCCCATTTCCCTTCGTTGACGCCTGGGGAGGAGTGGTGGCAACTGGTGTGTCGCCACGCTACATCCCTCTTCCCAAGGTGCCTTGCTCACCTTCGTGATACGCAGAGGGGCTGCTCCAGCTACATCAAAAGCTGTGGTCTGCGATGTTCACGACTGTGAATCATTCGGAGAGTTATGACGTTATGAACTGTCCGGCTGCGGAGGATCTGACTTAGGCTAGCATAACGGGCGAGTCCCCTGCCGCATTGCGTCAGATATTCTCGACAAGCTACAAACCAGGCTCATGTTCCGCTTTGACTGAGCCCGGATGTATCGACTTCATTTCGCTGGGTTGGAGCACCTTCACCGGCGATCGCAGCTACTACTGTCTCTATCCACCTCAGTCAGCCCTCAGATGGTTTGGACCTCCAGCTGGGGCTCCCGTCCTCCATACCTCTTGCAAAACTTGGAAACTCCGGTATGTGTATCGGTTCCCTGATTGACAGGATGACACACTCGTGTGGTCCCCTGCAGTGCTTTGCTCAGGGACACCAGGTATGTGATCCAGAAGTGACCTCGCTATCAGGTAGCTTACGTTCTATCTCAACCTCTTGTTCGCCCTCGCGGAAGCTTCCAGTGACACGGACAGGCACTAGATTAAAATTTCATCTGCGGCGTACAGCAAGATCAGACTATCTGAGATAGGTGTACGATGCCGTCCAGCACGAGATGGGATTGGCGCGAAGTCCGATAAAAATCTTCCACCCTGTAGGTCCTCCTACTCCTTCCCTCGCACCGTGTTCTCTCTTCCGAACCCTAGTTGGCGGACGAAGTCTCGAAGACGCTCTCGGGGTCCTGTGACCCTCCAGCTTCAGTGCCAGTCTGGCCCGTCGAGTGCGCCTCTTCCTTCTGTTTCTTCTTTTGCTCCTTCTTGTCCCGTCTCTCCTGTTCCTTCCTTTCCTTCTTCTCCCTCTTCTCTTGCTCCTTTCTCTCCTTCTTGTCGCGCTTTTCGCGCTCACGTTTCTCCTTCTCTTCCTTGCTCAGCTTGTTGACCGTCGAGACGGAGGTGGCCGGGCCCCAGCCGTACTGCGACTGCAGCGCGCCGAAGGCCTGGGAGTAGTCCTTCTGCACCGGGAGCTGGCGCTGGGAGGACGATGCGCTGTGCAGCGGAGTGGTAGAGGTAATGGTTGTGGTCGTGGCGGTCGTAGCGACCGAAGTCAGGGACGGATTCGGGGGGAAGGCGGGGGTGTTAATGGCGTTCTGTTCAGTGTCCTGCTGAGACATAGTGATCTTTCGAGGTGCGTGAGGTACGGAGCGTGGTAGGAGCGAGTGTCGATAACGGGGTATCGATACTGTGTTGTCGGTAGTGCTGCTATGGTGCCTCGGCGGATATAAAGCTGTTTGGTGAGTAAACCCAGCTGTCGTTCTGCCTCTCTTTATACACCGTAGGTACTATCGTCCAAGACATACCACACGGACGAAGACAACAGGTACGCGCCCATGTATTTGGGGTTTGACCCGTTCGTTATCGCACGCGTCCTTCAGACGCGTAGTAAGTCTGTGATCTGAAACTAACGTGGATGTGTCGGCCACCAGTGCCACGAGAGCAATGGGTAGCGATATGTGGATTCCATGTACTTCGACGAACACAGCGTTTCAGAGAAGAGGCTGCTCTCAATGCAGTTCCTGTATTCACAATCGAGTCATTCCGGGCGGCCAAAGCCGTCATGACATTCAGACATACCGACCATAGCGTTCAGAAGACGGTTCCTCGTAACAGGGGTCATCGCCTCACCCGTTGTGGCATATGGAGTTTCTTTGGTATACATGCACCGCCGCATACGGGCCCACTGCCCACTGTGTGCGGGGGCTTACGGTCTGTGGTCAACCCGGCGTCTGTAACACAGCTGCTCCCAATTACTTTGTGTCCCTATTTCCCACCTGCCATGTATGTGGGACCTGGGCAACAACAGTACTGTCCTTACGGCTTAGCCTTACGTTGAAAATGGCACGGGTAGCATGATCTGTGACACTTCCTTCAACGTTTGACCAAATTCATTCCAGAGCCGCTTGCGGCGTCACGACAACTGGCCCTTGCCCCCTTAACGAGTGCGTAAGCATACAACAATAAGCTGGGCCAATCTAACACTATGTTTTTTGGTGTCCCAAAGCTGGATGCCAGTTGCAGCAACCCCGATATTTACTGGCGGCCGAAACGATGCATCATGTAAGATGGAGCCAGTGCGTGTCGAGACTTCAACTTCCATTTGAATGGCATTGACGACGAACCCGTTCGACGATGAGATGAACGTTTCCCGTGTCGTTCAGAACTGGACAGTCCTAGGCAACTTTGATATCTGTACAAAGCTGCGACTAGGACGATCCCGTTCGCCCAGGGTCTTCAAGTTGTACAGCGTCGAACAGGAAACCAAGTCATCATACACCGCAAAACCAGCTGACCTCCCGTCCAATCGTTCCTAGAATGCAGGAAAAATGACAACTTTGGACCCCATAACCTGCCTCAGAACTACTCAAGCTTCCGGTCCAAGAACCTATGATCATCGATCAGGAGTGGATTTCCATACTCTCATACTAGTACTGCACCGCATAACATAGCCATGAGTTCCGACGGCTTCCTATACTGGCGCTCTCTTGTACGCGATAGATATCAAACGGGGCGCGTAAAGGAGGACGCAAGGAGATAGGAGGAGTCTAGAGCCGTGGGCATTTGGATGCAGTGTCCCAACAAGCGCCTTAGCCGAGTCTACAGGCTCCTGGCATGCGTTGAGTATCCGCATGCTTACGAGCTTCTTAGGTTCCTGGATCTGGGACTCGGCTATGCTTGACAAAAGCGACATGCCACAGGTTTCCGCATTGTGACGCATGGACGAAGGCTATGATATCAATGTCCAATGGTGTTGCCAGTTCAGCTCGAGCTGTCCAAGCATCATTCACTCGTCTGTCGCTAATTGTAAGTACACCAAGATGCTCATGGCGCGCAATATTGACTATTGTATGGTTCTAAAGGGGGGAAAGCCTGTTGCAACTCGGTCTCGCATTACAGAATGATGTACAACGGCGCCCGAGCAACTGCTGTGGCCAGTCCGTGTCATGAAATCATTGTTGGTAGATCCTCCCCCGACCGTGTTGTTCACCGTTGTAGAAACATGACATCTGGATCATTCTCAGTGTATCAACCCTACCTTCGGCATCGTTTACCTTACAAGCATGACCACATCGAGAGGGGGACGTTTGTAGCGTGGTAGTCCTCGAACATTAGCGGCTCCAAGTCTTGAGCACTGGCAGCGGTACGAATACATATAAATCATAGAATGATGAGTTATCACTGAGCTGGTGTGTTACATTGGCATGGACATGGGCTAGACAGAGGCAGACGGCGACAGACAAAGGAGACAAACAAACCGAGGCCACGGACTACGAGTAGCGTGCGACGATAGCGAACAGGGGCGGATAGCACATACTCCCGAACGGGTATCTATAGCTACAGATATACAACGCGAGATCGCAGGAGCGACGGCGACGGGGAGGGGACATGACTGGACAAAGCTAAGGTGTGTTATACGGCGGAAAGAAGAGTGACAAGGGCAAACTGAGGGTCTAGTTGGGATAATATGGTAATGAATAGCGTATCGTCGATACATGCATGTCGTCAAGTCGCGTCTTCTGCTTTCACGTCTGACCGTGTCCTGGAGGAGGGACTGCAGACCCGGGAGGGTTGTGCATCCCACTGACGTTATTGATGTAAGTGCCCCAGTCGTCCCATCTGCACAAGCAATTCAGAGTCAGACTTCACGCCGTAGCAAGCGCGTTGACGGAAAACTCACTCGAACGACGTCGGCGCATTCGACCACATCGCCAGCGTGTTGTCCGTGAAGGCCATCTCCTCTGACGATATAGGCGGCCCTTGCGCCATCGACCCCTGCGCAGCACCTGCAGTCCCAGGTGTGATTGTCGGCGCCAGGTGCATCTCTGAAGGCATTTGCGTGAAGGCAGACGGCTCTGACGCCGCAGCGTTGATCATCTCGCTGAACGATGCTGGCTGGAGCGTGTACATCGGCATTGCGCGCGGGTCGAACTGCGCACTACTCATGCCTGCGCGCGGGGATACAGCGGCCAGCTGCTGTTCTTGTCGCTGTTGTGCGTGCTGCGGCCAATCGGAGTACGACGCGTCCAAGCCGGGGTGGAGAGGCAGCCTGCCGAGCTCGTCCGTGTGCACCGGGAGCACAAAGCTTGTAGTCGCGGGACCAGCTGCGCTTCCATTGCCATTTGCAGTGGACGAGCGAGAACTTGTAGCTGAGGGCATCTCGGAATCGGAGGACGAAGGGACTGAAGGCTGCGGGCGCGGAAGGGGCTGCGCAAACGTCGATGCTGCGAGGGATGGGGCATCTTTGGATACATCTTTCGACACGCGTCTGCTGCCGGCAATGGTGCGGGGCCCGTCCAGCACTGTTTGAGATCGAGATGCGTTGGATGTTACGGAGACGCAGGAGGTAGGGCTATCCGCGTCGCGTTCGCGCTTGTGATTTGGGGTTGGAGATGCTTGCGGCAGAGGGAGGTCACCGACAGACGCCAGTTCGTACAGAATATCCCTACAAAGACATACGAAGATGAGGACTGTCTAGTGCAAATACACGGAGGCCCTGCACCACTTACCATAACCGTCCAGCTGTATGCCAGCTGCAAGGGGGACATGTCAACTATTAGTTCGGAGGACAGGAACCTGAGTGAACGACGCACTGAGGTTCGAGCGTTTGAAGCATCTTCATGCACTTGTGCACGTCCGCCATCTCCTTCGCAGGATCTGTCGACAGCCCAGAACGCTTCCCGCCCCAGATGTTCAACAATAACACGATCCCAGCAGTAAACAGCGCCATCTGTATGGGCAAGGCGCCCAATCCAGCCATGTCCTTCTCACCAGAGGGCTGCAAACGCACCTGGTTCGAGTACATCGGCATCCCCGAGCGCTTATACTGCACGTCCAACACATGGATGCAGCTTCGCGCTGCGTTGGTACAGATTGCGAGCGACGGGAATGACAGCGGAGACGGCTTCCGCGGCGAGGGTATGAACGGCCGGTGGACAGCGATTTGCAACTGGTAGTAGTTTGCGTACAAGTTGGCGGACTGGTTCAGGAACAGCAGATTCTCGCGGGTTGGGTCCCATCGCACTATGAGATGCGGTCAACATGTCAGAGCGCATTTCATACGGACGCGAGACGATCAAAGCACTCACGGTGGTCAGGCACGGAATCGATCCACTTGTTGAGGGCAGAGTCGAGCTCGGCGACGATGTGCTGCTCCCACTGTTGGCCGACGAAGCCGAGGAGCGCCTTCGACTTGTTGATCGAATACTGCATACCACGAGTTAGGTCAGTCTCGGGTACGCGGACGGTCAGTCTTGGGTATGCGGACGCATTGTGCCCCAAAAGCGATACAATGAAGCGAGAGCAAGAACGACGTACGATTGTGCGCATGGCGAACGCCAGAATCTGGTGCAGGCGGAGGGCGCAATTGAAGAACGCGACCTTTGACGGCTGCCCGGGCGGTTGCTTGAACGCCAGCTCAGGATCGGGGTTCGTCCAGTAGTCGTCGTCGCACTCTGTCGGCAGGTCGATGTCGAAGCTGCGCAGACATTCGTACCCCATCAGACGCCAGTGCTCGACAAGACCATTGAGAACTCAGCGTCTCGAGCACTCACTCTTCATCCTGAATGGCGCACGGCCGTCCCAGCCCAAAGCTCACCGCCCGGTCCATGGCGACTAAGACCCTATTGGGAGCCGGTTTCGGCGATTCCCACAGCGGGAACGACAAGAATAGAAATGATTAACACATGCCCTACCACGCACGAACAGAATCCACATAATCTTGCAGAAGGGGGGACGGGGAGCCGCACGAGGACACGCTTACCAGAACGCGCGCCGCCAGAGCTCCTCCTCGATCGTGGGCGAGGAACTGTACACCTTCTTTCTGTGTGCACCGACGTCCTGCGCCATTCGAATGCCGACGCCAATGATCGTCCAGCACGCCTGCGGGGCGGACGTCCCTTGCAGGAAGCCTGCCGTAAGCTATACACGCAGTGACATAAGGGAGCGCAGGAAAATTGTGATCGGGCATGGAGTTGCGAATCCCGATCGGAGACGTGAGACAATATAAGCAAAAGGGTCGTAAGTAGGCGCGATGGAAACCACCTGATGAATGGCCGCTATCGCCGACGGCGAGCGGGGTGACGTACCGCGTATATTTGGAGGTCGTACAGGCGCGGAGGGGCGAGCAGCGACTTGCGCACCATCTGCACCTGCTGGAACCACTTCCACCCTGCGGACTGAGGTATCTGAGTGTCGTCCAGGAGGACCCTCCGGTCGTTCGTGAACCGCGAGCCGTTCGCGCACACGAGCAGCACGGTCGACCCGAAGCCCTCGTCATGCAGGTGGAGGCCCTCCTTGACGCCTTGCTCGAACGTCGGCCGATGGAGGAGTGGCATGTAGTCGTTCATGTTCTTAAAATAGAGGTCGATGAGCTTCTCGAACAGGTCCGGGGGCGGGAAGTCCTTGTGCGGCGCGTGCTCGTCTTGTACGTTGGACGTCAACCACTGATATACATAAATGGGCATGCGAGAATCAGTCAAAGCCCACACCGAGATTGATCTGAACATCCAGGCCGCGTACGGGGTGCAAGCTCCAGTACTGCTGGTGCCGCCTACGCAGCAGTGTGTGGTGCGTGTCCGGGTCGACCGTCTTGGGCAGCTCGAGCCCGGCATACTCTTGCTTGAGGTCCATCGCGGTCTGGATGAAGAGTAAGCTCGAGGATTTGCCGTGGTACCGCATGCTGCTCGGGTTCATCGACATCTTGCGGAGACTCTGGACTATGTTTCGCTGTGCGACAATCTCGTCGTCGCTAGGGTCTAGATCATCCGACTCAACTTGGGCGGAGGGCGAGAGCGCTGGCGGAGATGCGATAGCAGACTGTTGTGTGGGATTGGCAGGAATGGAATATGCGGGCTTGGTAGTGGTGGCGCTGGAGGGCTCGCCATTGCGGTCGGTCAACCACCCGTCTTTGTCAAAGGAGCCGCCCAACTCCTTCGTGAAGTCGGCATTGGGACAGAGCTAACCGTGAACGAAGCCGGAGAGAAGGATGTCTGTTGTGGCGCTTGTGCGGACGGAGGAATGAACGCACCTTGTTGAGTAGTCTCTCCATCTTCTCTAATCGGGTCTCGAGGGACTCGACGTAACTGAACGCGCGCAACACAATAACGAAAATGACTCAGAGTCAATGACAGTGATTGACAGTCTTACTCACCCTTTAGGGGGCCCGCGCTTCTACGGGGAGTTGAGGAATGTCCGAGCATGCGGGGAATGATAAATCATTACGCACCTTCGCAGCCTCAATATACGTGCACTCCAGACGATAGGATACACAGTTGGAACAACGGTTGTTGGGCATTTGCGCGCCATCGCCTGGTGGTGGGAACGGAAGGATGTGGGGTGAATGCCTCGTTCGTCGTACGAATGGCAAGCCATGATTGTTTTGGGAGCGAGCACGAACGCCACTCACATCGGACTACGGGCACAAGCGTGAAGATTGAGTATCCGAGATGCCACATTGGGCCGAGGACGGAGGTGGGCCGACGTACTTTTCTTGCGCCTGCACATATCGCACGCGCGCTGGATCCTGCGCTTCTTCGCATTCTGGGCGGAGATATCGCCGTCATTATAATCCTCTTCTGGCGAAGACATCGTTGGATGAGCAGGTGAGAGTCGGTCAAGGTAAGCGTGCAGGATAAGAGGAGCGGATGATAGGAGAAGGAGAAGAGTGTGGACGAGGAAAGAAGGGGAAGATGTGAGCGTTAGAGGCCGATTCTCTCGGAAAGGGAGTCGTGAAGATTACATATCCCGACGCGTCCACGGCCGGCTTTCTCAAGCGCTCTGCAACCTCTCCCATGTACGCAGTACTGATCCTGATCTCTCATGTACATAGTAATCTCCCACATCCCTTACTCACTTTCTCGTTGCAACGGGAATCGGCGCCCGTGCATCGAACCTCCCAGAGTCATCGCCCTCCCCCCAACTGCCGGCTCCGCTGTCCGACCACGTTAGCCGTCATGACTTAACCCCAAGCAGCGTGCCGCGGCACCGGGTAGTATCCCGCGGCCGAAGCTGTGCCAATCAATCGCACCCCAGTCCTCGCTCCTCCATCCTCCGTCCTTGTGATTTCTCGTCGTTCCACTTTATTTCCAGCCCCTCGACCCTACCTGAGCTCCGAGGGATCGCTCGTGAGACCAGCGCATTCCGCACTTGATATCGCCGTGTTTCATGCAATCAATGCGACAGTCGCAATGGGAACTAAACTTCATCCCGCCTTCGGCAGCTCGCCATGCAAACGCGTAAGACGGCGCCGATGCTGCGACGTCACTCCAGGTCTTCCCCAAGGTCTTCAGGTTGGCGTCGGATGTCGAACGTGACTCTAATTGACACGCGGCGCAACGAGAAGTCCACGTCAGCAGATACCCCTGTCGTGGTCGAAGCTTCGAGCGTCGTCCAGTCCTTCCATGCCACTCAAGCAAAGAACACAGCAGGTTTGATTCTTCCTGAGGCCGCACGATCGAGGTCGGGTCATCGGGACGCAGAGATGGGCGATGGACTGATGACACCGGGGGGTCAAGCGTGAGAGAGTCTATGGTTTCCCTACCGATTGCATATCTTAACTTCAGGCATTGTAGAATTCACTGAAGCCAGAACTCTGGAAGATGAAATAGAGAGAAAGCCTGAGCCATTAGAAGGAGTCACCGCTGCCGACTTTCGGGGTCCTGGGGTCAAGCACATCTCTGTCGGGACGAGATGCTGTCACAACCTTTTCTCCAGGCCACCAAGGAGCGCACATAAATGTTTCGCTATTACCCACCACCTATACTACCGCGCAGAGACGATACCAGTACACAATATATACACGAGACTATGTTTGCGAGCGAGCCGAGAGAAGCAGAAACAGTCAAGTAATTCCCGACCGCCACTTCCGCGTCCAAGACGGGGGGGCGCGAGCCGGAGATGTCGGTGCATGCAGGGTCAACCTGGGACATTACATAGGTCAGCGAGCAGCAGGCACGAGCACGATGCAGTTGATGGATGGATGCCGATGATGTGGATGTCGTGGATAAGGACGAGGGACAGAATGCAGAGAGATTATGGCATGACATGGGGCTGAAATGGGGTGCATGGGAGCGTGCAGAGGGGGAAGATGCAGGGAAGCACACGCGTTCGGGCTGGGGCCAGGGTCGCGTCGGGTCAATGGAAACGAGGCGAGCGCGCGATAGTCGCCGAGTCCTTGTCTTGCCGCATGTCCACGGGTAGATTGCGCGCTGTCCAGTTAAGGTCGTCGGCGGTGATTGGGACCGTTCGCTAGACTCGGACATCGAGAGGGCCAGATAGAGCCAAGGAGACGAGGGCCAGCGACCAACGACGGATGCGACCGGATGGCGGCGACGACGGCGGTATGTCCGCACGAGCGACTATGACGAAGGTCAGAAGGGACGAAGGGGCAAATAGCGGATAAAGGGCGTATGATAGAAGGGAAGCGGAACAGCGGTATCGTACAAGCCTGCATGAACCCCGGACTGCGTGCAATGGATGACCAGATGCGTATTGAGCGACTATGATTTGTGGAGAAGAATGAGACGAGAGTATAAAATGCGTGTTATGTGATGTGAGTGAGCGATACGAATCTTGTGCCGAGAAGAGTACGAACTATGAGCATGGAAACACAGGGGGAAGAGAGTATTAGCCATGCCGGGTGCAACGGAGCGGTGCGCTACGCCGTCGCAGCCCGAGCACAGTAACACGGATAAGAAAGCAAAGCACGATGATAGTACATGGAGGCAAAGCAATATATACTACGAAACAGCACGCACGGAGCAAACGCCCCGCCGCACCTTGAAAGCGCGCTCACCACCCCGAGTAGTGGTAGTCGTCCGCCCAGCTCCGATTCCGCGCCATAGCGCGCCGCCGCTTCTCCTCCTTATCGTCCGGCTGTCGTTGTTGTGGCTGCTGCTGCTGCTGCTGGTCCGAACCCTGCGCTTGTTGCACAGGCATATCGTTCATCGACGTCAGCGGCCTCAACCCGCTCCCCAACACGCCCCCGCGCTGTCTGGTCATGTTCACCCGGCTGACCTGCCTCTCCCAGAGCAGGTTCCGCCGCAGACTCTCCGACAGCTCCGTCTGGAGCATCTGTCTTCGCGTTGTCCGCGGGGTCATCGGCGGCGGTGGGGCAGGAAGGTTGTACGGGTGATTCAGCGGTATGGGTGCAGTCGCAACGGTCGGGAGCTGCGCCCGGCCGTGCTCCTGTATCTGTTGCATTTGCTGCAGCTGCTGCTGTTGCTGCGGCGTCGGGAGACCACGGTCCGAATGGCGGCGCCGGTTCGGATCCGCGAGCGCGGCGAGCTTCTGCTGGGCGAGACTGTGCGATACCTGGATGGTGTCGTCTGGGTTCTCGTCGTCGCTCGTGTCTTCCAGCTCTTCCTCCTGCGGGCGACCCTTGGGTCGGTAGACACCTTGCCGACTGTTGTCTGCGGGAGCGACCGAGGCGGTGACCTGCACCTGCGCGGCGAGCGGTACCGCCGCAGTGCTCTTGCGCATCTGCAGCGGGGGTGCGGGTGGGGGCCCCTGCCGCGCGAACTGCGTCATATCCTGCGTCGAGCGACTGGTGCGGTAGGGATGATTGGGTGGGAATATGTTCGGGTCGGGGTTCAGAAGCTGCGATAGCAAGCCAGACTGCACGCGGTTTAGGTTCGAGTAGGACCGTTTCGGCACTTTGGCGAACATGTCGCGCTGCCGTTGCGCCTCCTCTGCCGCTTCGCGTAAGCGCGCCTCTTCTACCGCTTTCGCCTTGCTCTGTTTCGGCTTGTGTCGATCATCGCCGCTGTCCTCCGATGCCCACTCCGAGTCGTCGTCCGTATCCGTAGTCTCGTACTCGGAGGACGTCGATATTACGATCCCGCGACGCGGCTGCGAAGGACCTGCACCGTTCGCGAGGGGCTGCAACTTAGTCGCCGCCGTCGGAATGTGCGGGGTAGACGCGGACTTCTTCGGCGGGACATTAGGAGTCGGGCTCGACAGACGCGTCTTGCCCGATTTCTCCCTCGCCTTCTCCGGCTCAACCGCCTTGCTCGACTTCCCTTCGTCTCCAGCGCCGCCGCCACCCCCGGAACGTGGTCCATTCGAAGACACCGAACCGATGTTGAACGTCGTCTTCTTCGCGTCAGCCGTGTGCGGGGGCTGCTTCTCCGGCACCTGCGCCTGCGCCTTCTTTTGCGACGTCGTCCGCAGCCCGTGCGAATGCAGCCGCTGCAGCGTGGGCCGCGCCGGCGCATGGCGCTCTTTGGCCTTCCGCACCTGCACTCGTGCCCGCTTGGCTGCGGCGCCCGCTGCGCTGGTATGCCCCGTCAGCTCTGACTTGAGATGGCTCGACGTCGCGCTGCTCGGACTCGGCTCGGCTGCGTCCTGCTGCGACACATCGTCATCGGCACTCCGTTCTGGTCCGTGCTCGGTCACCGGGGAAGGCGGCGCGTGCAGGTCCGAAGTCGAGGAAGGGGGTCGTTCCGGTGACGGGGAACCAGCGTCCTGGAGGAAGAAGCGTCGGTCCGACGCCTTGAGGGTGTCATCATTGTACTTCTTCGGCTTCGGCTCGGGAACATCATTGGGGATAGCGTCATGCGAAGTAGCCGTCACATCGCGTGCTGCTGCAGCCGGCGGCTTCCCCGTCAGCGAGGACGTCGTAGAGGAAGGTACGAGCGGCTGTTGTGACAGCTGCTGCCACCCCTGCGGTTGTTGCTTGTGCGGCGGTGATGCGCATGTCGGATCAGCTGCTTTGGAGAGCAAAGGGTGCTTTAAGTCGCCAGACAGATGTCTTGGCGCAGTTGCGGAGATGAGCGAGCGCGCAGGGGGCGGCGGCAATAGGTGCAATGATGGCTGAGCGGAAACGGTCGGAGGATGGGGTAAGCTCGGGGTGGCTGGAGGGGTGGGATGTGGTGTGGGATTGACGACCACAACGCGGGGAAATGACGCCCTGTCCGGCTGTGGGGGTGTTGCGGGGAGCTGAACTGTCGGGACTGCGGCCACAACTGGGCGAGGCTGAGCGATGTGCGGTGCGAGCGCTGCGACTGTGGCTGTTGTTGGTGACCGCGCCGCTCTCTCTTTCTCGCTGGTCACATCGAGCTTGTTAGCTGGAAGGATGTCGAGGATCATTTTGCCTACGCCGACGGAGCTATGTGACTTTCGTCGCTCCATGGGCGCACTCGCCGTGCTCAGACGACGACCTGCAGTGATGACGGTGTTTGCGGAGTTCTCTGCATGCCAGGAATGCGCCGCAGTAATATCAGGCGTTGGTGTGAGCGATGGGTGTGGCAAGGGTACTGTTGAGGCCGAGGGCATTAGCGCGTTGGTTTGACCGCTATGTCCGGTGGGATAACTTCGAGGAGTGAGGAAGAACAAACGTACCTTGCTGACTGATGTGTCCGTCCTCTGATATGGGAGTAACGGGCGATGGGCTACGCTTCTCTGAGAACGGGGGAGAAAGGGTGCCGGGTGACGATGAAGGAGTGCATTGGGCAGAGGCGAGTTCGCGATACCACAAGCGCCATGATATGTTCTCGAGACGGCGGCCGTCCTTCAAAGACTCTTTGCACTTTGTGAATACTTTGTGCGGGCAGCCTGAGTACTAAGTGACGAGAAAGATGAGAGAAATGGACGCACGAGCCCAAAGACTACACAAGGCGTCTTCGCCTTCGATGTCCTTGACTACATCTGCTGCGACGGAGAGGATCGGGGACGGGAAGGTAGAGACCATGGTATCGAGGAGGTCCAGAGTGAAGGCAGGAGTAGTACAGATGCGTAACGAACGAGTAAGACGGCCAGCAAGGCAGAGAGCTAAGAATTACAGAGGGAGAACGAGGAGATGAGCCGTCGGGGGAACTGGGCCTGGAGGGGGCGGTTGAGCCGGCTCACGGGGCCGGATAAGCGGCGGCGGGGATGGGTGCGCGTCGAGTGAGAGCGCAGCGAGGACGATGGGCCTCGGGGGGTCGTTGGGGGGAAGGGGGAGGGAGGATGGGGGGGCGGGGGCGGGGACGGGGATGGTGAGGGACGGGGATGGTGAGGGACGGGTGGAAGGAGGGGACGCGGAGGGGAAAGTGCGATCGCCAGAGCGAGCGACCTGCGAAGACGCCCGCCCCCCCCACGGCCCGGACTCCGCGCTCACGGCCAAGCGTTGGTCGCTTGCCGGTTTGGGCTATTGCCACCCGAGCCCTGTCCGTGTCCGGCTCGCCCCGACCTCCAGCCCGTCACATGTCGTCCCTCGTTCCCTCCCCGCGGACGCACATCCTCCGCCCTCATGACCTTCCCCATCTCCCCAACCCCGTCCGACGCACCTCGTCCGTCTTGTGAACAACAAGCCCGCTGCTGTCTTGTCAACCCCAGACCGTTCACACAAACGCGCCCCGGCCTGTCGGACGTGTACGATACTCTCATGTCCAACGAACGCTCTCCTCACATCAAACCCCCTTGTGCCCATCGAGCAATCTCAGGCCCAAATCTTTCCTTCTTCCCCAGCGTCGCGCCTTGCATTCGTTGAATGGATCATATATTACAACCGTGCCTTCGTCCTGCACGCGGCGTGGTCATGGCACTCGCCTCTCGACCCGTCTTCCGGTCAGAACGTGGAACGTCTCGAAGGCCTGCACTCAATCTCAACTCAACCCGACGCCACCGCCCAGTCATCACGCCCTGCACAGCATTCCGACTCAAACTCTCACCTCCCAGGTCCCATCCCATTCCCGCTGCCACTCATTGGTCCCGACGGACAGTGCCCACGCAGCTGCGGAAGTATATCCGCCTCCTGCTCCCCTTCTCACCGGACGCCCGGTGTCGCTTTACTAACTAGCCCACACAACATATTCGTCATGAGCACGTCGCTGTGTGTCCTTCCTGATCTGCTTGCGTGCGCATCGAAACGATCGATGAGGCTCCGCACGTGTTTGCGCTCGCGACATTGTTGCAAGCTCTCCGTGATGGACCATGGCCGCACTCCGCTCTGGTCGCAGCCGTGCATTGCCGGTCAAGCTGCACTCGCAACAAGCCTAAATCCGGCATTACCGCACCTGCGTTAGGGCTCGAGCCATGTCGTCGAGGCCTGCTCGATGTTTCAGCTTCACGCGTGATCAGCGACCGGAGCAGTCCCGTCGCCTCAAGCGCTTCTGATACTATCGCGACCCCAGTGTTCGGACAAAAAGGCGCCCGCTGCGAAAACCCTTCGTTTTATGTACTTTCCTGTACTCCGATAATGCTCAATTTTGGCATGAAAAAGGAGATGCATATGCATAGACTACGTGCCAAACATAAGACATATTGAAGGAGACACGAGCAATGGAGACAGGATATACAGGGCCTGACCCCAGTGTTCGGACAATTCTCCGCACAGCAGGTCACGATCTGTCACGCTTGCCGACACCTGCCGGTCTTCAGGGAATCCCCGTTCTCCAGCTTGATGAGCCTTAGCCGAGCATCCCGAGCAAGTCGGAGAGTCAAACTGTGGCTGCATTGTCACGCCCTTGAGGGCTGCTTCTGTTTCTCTCTGTGTTCCCCTGAGCAGGCCTCGGAAAATTGGGTAGTGAGTAAAATGCGTAGGTAGAAATACGTACACGAAATTTGTATGGAAGCGCCCGAAGAGGGATACGAAGCGAGACTCCCGAAGCTTT